ACAAATGAGCTCAGACCACTGAGCAAAGTGCTCATCCAAATCTAAAACATATGTCTGGTGTCATCATTTCATTTGCTGAACCTCAGGGCATTGCTTTTGAATCATCAAATAAAACTGATTTATATGTCAATTGTTTCATCCCTTTCCCAAAGTATTTATTATCTTTAAATGCAGGATCATAAGAATAGAACTCTGATTCCAGCCATTAATCATCACTCAAAACACATTCATCATTTTCTTTCTAAAGAAAAATACATATATATTTACACACACACATATCAAAGCTTCATTTTCTGAGTGATGTACTGCTTTCCTCCTTGTTTTCATTTGCTTTATCTGCCAAATATGAGCTCCCCGTTGCAAGATTCATACACTTTCCCAATCTTGACACACTTGTACATAAATCCCTCTCCCAGAGGGTTTGTGCCAGCATCTGTTCCTACTAACTTGACTTCTCTCGAGTTTCCCTCTAGGTTAGAACAGCATCTGCCAGCTAAAAAATATTCCGGTAGCCTCTTACTGCCATCAGCCACTTCTTTTAGTCTTGTCATTTATCCTTTTGGTGGGTTCGCAGTGTGCCCATATCAGCCTATTTCAGTTCATTTAAAGGATATCGTTACATTTGACCCGTCACAGGGAGAAAATCGGCAGAAGTAAATTGTTCAAATAGATGCTGTCGAGATTCTGGATGTGTAATCCAAATGCATTTTCTTGGTTTTGTTGATTTTAGAAATGACATAGAAATGCAAAGAAGGTCTTTTCCGCCCTTTTCGTCTTTTCGACACATCTTCAGACATAACTCGAAAGTTGGATTGAGATGGAGGCAGACTGAGTAATCCCTGCCATCTGTTGAGTAGATCAGATCATAATGATCTTTATATAGGTCACCCTTCTTCCACACTCTGCCGCGCAGCACTCACACACACACAGAGCAACCATATAAATGTATATAGTTCTAGGTTAAAAAATTTGGTACACACAACCGCAATGAAAGCATGGCAAATTAGTCCACGGCATTATTTGCTGTTTTAAAATGTGTTCGGTGGTTGGCACTGTAACCGGACAGATGAGGGATGGTGTTTCAAATCCCCACTGGGGACCTGTCTGCGTGGCGTTTGCATGTGGAACGCCCCTCATATACAGGGATTTTTATGCAAATGAGATAATCGGAGACTGTACATTAACCATCAGATTCAGCTCGCGCGGGCCTGGTTGCCTGTCTCTGGGTGGCCTGTGTGAAACCCCCCCCTCTCACCCAGTGAAAGCTGGGATGGGCTCCAGCACCTCTGCAACCCCTAGATTTTTCAAATTTTGAAAAATGGATGGATGGACCTGCCAAACAGCAGTGCGTTTTAACAACAAAAGATATCTTTGCTTTTTACAAATGTGAGTATTCGGAGGGTGAGCTGCAGCCAGGTGCCGCTGAGCAAATTCAAATTAGGCAATCATCATCAGCAGATGTGAGCACCTCTGTGAAAGCAGAAGGTTTGACACTGTGTTGGCCTGCAGCGTTCAGGTTTATGTTAATACAACGCCAAGGAGGAAAGACGTCAGCCATGGTATTTAACTTAGTATGGTAAAAATTAGAAATAGAATTTTAATGCGAGAAAGATGACTGCTTTGAATGTTTTCCACTTTTGAATAATCTTCCCATGATGTCGGTATAGAATAGCAGTCAGACTGGTCAAAGTAATCCATAGTGCTTCAAATAATGTAACCAGACTGAAAAGATTATTTTCTCATCCAAGGAGCTTCTTCAGTGGGGAATGTCATTAGAGCGGATTCTCAACTGATGCTCTCTACCAACTGTTTTATTGCTGTAGATGTCTGATTGCCCTCCTTCAAGCTGGTTGGAATCATCCCAGGAGTGGACCCCCCACCTGGAGCTCAGAACGTGCAATGTTCATGCAATTGTAAAAAGAAAACTCAAAGGGCCTCAGACTGCATGTTTAAGAAGTTCACTATTGCACAATTAGGAAAAGACAGAAGAATTATTGCTTGTTTGGAAGCAGTGTTCTTTAGACAAACATGACCTAAGTGGATATGTGAGACTGAAATACGCAGCTGCACTTTTGATGGAAACCAAATGCTTCCATCAAAACGTCTTATCATCCCGGTGGGCTGCTTTTGTAGACACGGTACACCTGTTCTAAAAGCGGACTCAAATGTGAGACCATCTGTCCAGCTGCTACATCTGGGCCTCAACCAAGTTATACTACAAGAGAATTAACCTAGGCAGATATACAGCAGAACAGCTAAAAAAGAAATAAATGAGATTTTGCAACGGCCCATCAAAAGTCCAGACCTCATTCTGATTGAAATGCTGTGGGGGGGCCTAAAGAGAGCCGGGAGAAACAGAGCCCCACAAACCTCACTGAGGTGAAGAAATGTTTTACAGAAGGGGCAGAAGTAATCTACAAATACTTGAGAGATCGGTTGTTGGTCAGTGGATATTGACATATTAAAAATTCCTTGGTTTGTTGTTCATCTGAGAGTTGTGTTTACATTTTAAAAGACCCGGGAATCACAAGACGACGTTAGATTTTTGCCCTTTTTCTGAAAACCGTCTACCCCAGATGCCATCTTGATCTTGAGCCTGTCCTGTGTCCCAAATTTCAGTACCTAATCCCACCAAAAGAAATCTGATGATCATGGCAAAAGACCAAATAGGACATCCAGAGGAAGTAAAAAAAAAAAAAAAAGGAGGACAGAGGGGATCACTTAGCAGCACAGGCAGTGAAGTGAGAGACTGAAGAATAGTGGGAGTTACAAGTAAAGCAAAAGAAACAAAGAACGCACGAAAAGCCAGTGAAGAAAGGGGGAGGAGAAACGCTAAAGAGAAGAGGAACTGCAAGAGAGAGTTGGGAGAAGGGAGGGACACAAAGTTGCATCCTTTCTCTCCACCCACACTTCATAAAGTCAGTCAATGTGACAGGAAGACTTATGTAACACCCCAGAGATGGAGGGAGGAGATGGAGAAAGACGAGCACGAAGGAGGAGGAGGAGGAGTGAAGAGGGAGCAGGGAGAGCTGCTGTGGAGAAGGAGAAAAAGTAATAAAGCAGCAAAGAGTTGGGAGAGGGGCGGAAAAGATAAAGGGGGCGAAGTACGAGACAGAGAGATCCTTGGAGAGTTAAATTGGAGATGTATGAGGATAGATTAAGAGAACGGGAAAGAAGATAAAACGGGGCGAGGGGAGGGGAGGGCGACTGAAAGATCTGCCATGCCTGTTAGGATGGCTCTGCTGGCTTTACACTTTTCATTTGTTTTGTGGGGGAGAGATTAGCAAGAGGATTAAGAGATCCCCTTGCTCCTCATTCTGCTTCTTCTGCTTCTGTCCCTTGGCCTTTCCGTCACCCTGTCACCCGTCCGGGCGTCACGCTCGGCTTCGGAGCGGCGTTTTCGGGGAAGCTGCCGGCGTACGGCCCCCAGACAAACGATCATTGTCGTCACTCGCCGCTCTGCCGTTATTCCGTCTGATCAGTGGCACACACAGATTGTCGGAAAAGGAGAGCCGCGTTTTTTTTCGAATTCCTTGAAAGTCCATATTTCATAAGTCGCATATTTAACGCACACCCTTAGTGGCAGTGAACGACCGAAGCCCAAACCCAAGACGACCAGAGTCTAAATGTTTAAACTCCTCGCCATCAGCAGGAAAAACCTCCCCATCCGATCGCCGACGTTCCGACGGTTATTTCTGGGATTACAGCATGTTTGCGTGGTCTCGTTTAGTTGATTGTGTTTACATATTGATGCAAAGCGGCATTTGCAAGGTGGGAGAAATGACTCCGAAAGTAACTCAGGAGCACAAATAGACAGAGGTTGTATTTGGGCGGGAGTCGGTGAGGTGGGTCGGCTCGTGCTTCCACGACCGTTTGTCCACACATCTGGCTTTCACTCCGTCTTAACCCCTGTTCTTCCACGTCTCTGTCTGCCTCGTATCCACTTCTGCTTATCTTCCCCTCTCCCTCCTTTGCTCCCCATCTGTCTCTTTCCTTTTATCTAATTTGCCCCCCTGTTAAATTGTCCCCACTCCAGCCACAAACTCTCCTTTTTCTCCCTCGCTCGGAACAGCTTAGCTTTTCTCCCCTTTCTCCCTCCCTTCTTTTAAACAGCAAAAAGCAATTTCTCTCCCTTTGTCAGGGCGGTTGGCGGTAAGCCCTTAAGTAGGGATTTTCTGGTTTGGCTGGAATGCCATTAGGCGAGCTGGTGGTGACGTGCCGTGACTGACGTGCCGAATCTTTTTGATGTCGTGATGTCACAATCCAGCGGAGGCTGTGGTTATGATATTGTTGGCGTCCCCGGAACGAGGGGCTTTAGTGGTCATGTCAGGAGTAAGTCTTCATAAATCCTTTATGGCACAGAAATATTAAGCTTCTTTGGTGGTACAGGGACGGCGGGGGAAACATGGTGGAACCTGCACACACGTACAGAAGGCAAGACACAAAGCCCTCCGGTTGTGTGGACGTGCTGTCGGCACACACGCTCCAAGGAACGTTCCACTCAGGCGTGGCAGCAGATGTGCAGCAGTGGGAATTTTACATGTTACAAATATGTCCTTTTTAATTTTGGTTTCTTACTTAAACTGCTCATGTACACACAACAAACATTCCCGTTCACGTACACCTTTGGAACCTGTTTTAAAGGCTATTCAAAACCTGATTCCACATTGGAATCAGAATGATTCCTAACTGTGTGCGAATCCAGGGTTTAAAAACAATCTGTAGTAAAAATTGATATTTAAAGCTGTATTTATGTATCGAAACATGCAATCTTCTTTTTTTCAAAACCACTTTAGAATCCTAGAGACAAGGAAAATTGGAAATTGGAATGGATCAAATTCTGACACCGTGGTGTGGTGGGTTACTGCAGATTTCTGGGAGATTTTAGGGCCCTTTAGCGCATTCAGAAGAATACGACAGTCCAAGGCAGATAGTGCCTGGGCAGCTTTTCATTATTTGATGTCAACACACCTGACGTCTGACTGTACCTTTCCTCACAGCGCCACCCAGATTCACGCGGACCCCAGAAGACCAGACAGGAGTCCAGGGGGGAGTGGCTTCCTTTGTGTGCCAGGCCGCAGGCGATCCACAGCCCAAGATCGTCTGGAACAAGAAGGGGAAAAAAGTCAGCAATCAGAGATTTGAGGTACGGCACTGTGACACCACAGACCAAACACGTGGGTTTGTGTCCTCCAAGCCACTTCCGGTTTCTTGTCGTGGCGTCCTGTTGTTATATAGAAGGTGATTCACATCAGAACCTGGGGGGCTCACACAAAAAGGGGGTCACTCGGTGCACTCCAGCAAGATGACTGCCTCTATTGTGTGGCCGGTGTTGTCCTGTAATGGTTTCCCATTTAGCTTCTTTCTGCGTACTGAAACCGATGAATGATGAAACCACGGTAACTCTGATGAAATGTCAACCAACTGCAAAAATAATAGGGACAAAGTGTCAGTTTTACACTCAGGTTTCACACTGATTCATTCAGTGTGTTATCTTTGCAGCAGGTTTAGCTATTTTTTATACAGCTGACTTCGTAACAAACTGAGCTGATCACGTGTAACTTCATAACTAATGGATAGGGATAGGAATGGCATCCTTGTCCTCCAACCATCAGCCGGAAAGCGAATAAGCTCCCTCCCCATTTTCGGGTCTTCTGCTGAGGCATATTTGTGATGAAGGCATTCTGGTCCCTGGGTCCCTGTGGGAATATCCTTTGCCAACTTTTCAGGCCCAGATAAGACAATTTGTGGATATATTTGTTTTGGTACAAGCTGCAGCATGTGTAGGTTAGCCTTATCTAGAGCAAGCAGTCATATATAAAAGGTGGCCTTTAACTTCTAAAAGAAGCTAGATTCTACAAACCTCTGACAATTTAACCTTTACATGTTGGAGTTGATTTTAACCAAGATACTGTTCCACAAGGGAATGGAATGACTTGCAATATCAGACAGAATCTAAGCTAAATCCGTTTTACTGATTGCATATTCGTATATGTTACACATCAATCCTATTTCAGTTTTTTCTTACTTAAATTGCTCATGTACACAACAAGTATTGTAGTGCTTCAAGCTTTTCTAGATGCAGTACAAATTAATCCAGTGTACAAAAACCTTATAAAGCCAATCATCCGTAAGTACCACATAGACCTCTCTTTAGCATAACATACATGGAAACAGCACAAAACAAAATATTTGATCTATGTCAACAATAACCAACAAACTTTAAGGATAAAAATGAAATTATTTGATTTTATCTGTTTGTTTTTTTAACAGTCCTATTCATTCAGAACCAATCGCAGGCTTTCAGTTTGGTTTGTTTTTTACAGCATCAGCAGATGCTCAGTTATTGTGCATGACGACGGATGAATCCAAGAAAGGTTTGTAAGAATAGATGAAAAAACTCTGAGCACCAAACGGCTCTACAGCTGTAACTATGGTGATACGGTCAGGTTTAAAGTCAGCCATTTTTTTGAGTCCAAAGGATTTGGCTCAACATCTGTTGATGCCCTGCATCTCACTTGTAGTATACCCCTCTGGTTTTGGGAATCCCTGCTCATTCAGTTAGAATCATGAATAGTCTTATTTATAGTATTTCTTTTAAATGATGATCAAAGTGCTCGCTTGGACAAAGGAGCATTGCTGGTGCGGCAATACTTTCTACAGAGGTTGAAACATTACTCAGTAATGAGAGCCGTGTTTGATTTGTTTTAATTCATATTTTCTGTGTAAGAGAGAAATGAAAGAGTTAACGTGTTTTTAAAGAATTCCTTCAGATTATTCTTCGAAGGTCACACAGGTGTGTGAAATCCCGCAAGCTCCCATTTTTTTTCATATGTGGGGAGCTGCCCCGAGCCGTTCCCTCTATGATCAGCCTTATTAGTCTCCTGGAGGCTCTAACGTTTGATTCATTGCCCGTCTCCATAACCCGCCCTCAGAAGGAGATGTGGAAAAAGGGCCCTTCTCCGCTCAATCACCGAGCCCAGGTTGCTTTTCCACTGTCATAGCTCCACTCTCATTTAATTTAATTTCAAGTTAATATCTCCGTCTTCACGTTTGCAATTAAATCACCTCAAAGGATTTTCTATTTCTGCTTGCTTCATATTCCGCTTTCGCTGCCCTGTCGGGCAGAACCTACTGTTGGGTTTATTGTAGGATTTATGTAAATTGAAATCTACCCTAGAATTTAGCTAAGTTACATGTGTATTAAATTTATGGATGAAAGGCTAAAATGCATCATCCAGTCATTCCAAAAACTCTAAAAGCATTACTTATCAGAGATAAACACAGGGACTAATTTGTTTTTTTACCAGCAAAATCTACTATATCGGAATGCTGATCTAAATAAATGTGGAAAAAATTGACTAGTAGAACAGTTTATTAGTGATGAACCAGAGGAAACACATCAGTTTGCCATTTTTTGTGTTTTAATGAATCCTCCACCTAACAGGTGATAGAGTTTGACGATGGGTCCGGCTCGGTCCTAAGGATCCAGCCGCTCAGAACTCCCAGAGATGAGGCGATCTATGAATGCCACGCCTCCAACTCAGCCGGCGAGATCACCGCCTCCACCCGACTCAGTGTGTTAAGAGGTCAGTGTGAACACACACACGAATACACACTCTCCGAATGCACCGCCACCACTTCTACACCAGAACGTGTGCATTTCAACTGAAAGCATTCATACGGATGCATCTGTTTTTTGTTACCTGGATTTCTGAACCGTAAAACTCATCAATCATTATATAAGCGTAATTTATTCAGTTTTACAATCAGAAGACTTTTTAATGAGTTTAGATTGCTTTAACAAATGCTTTTAAGCTTTCAAAGTTTGCCAGATTTCTTTAGTTAGTAATGTGAAAACATTATAAGTTATTAACCATCGGTAACTATTAAATGCTAGTTAAGAGACTCCGTTGAGAGGACCTGTTGACAAAAACAAAAGGCTGTAATGTTCTTTCTATTGTCATTTTAACAGCAGCCCTATATTAAGAAAAATTAAAAGTATTAGTGATAAATCATCATAACTTCTTCTTTGGACTGCACTCAGTTGTATACTGTGGTAAAACTCATTAACGGTTAATTAATTTGCTTTAATTAAATATGTGAATTTCTTGGACAAAGCACCCAACAAACAGCATTGACTAACTGTAAAATGAGCCTTTTACAATTAGCCTTCATCACAGTTGGGCTTTCTTTCCCAAATGGTGATGCTGTTCTTTTCTCAAACAATATAAAAAACCCTCACACCTATTACCTAAAGGCCAAAGTGAGATGTTATGATAGTGTTAAAAGTTTTGTGATTCATCCCACATCAAGTGATAGTAGAAAAGGAACCGTAGTGTTGTCTGTAAACCATAATGCAAATCAGGTAATAGAGATAAATTCACGCCCTGTTTGACCAGACTGCATCCAATATGGCACGCCAGCTCAGATGAAGCTAACACTGTCAGTGATTTGATTCTGATAGCTGCGGGTGCCAAAAAGTGTTATCTGAAACAGCAGCTTCTGCCAGCAGGACTCCAACTGCTTACCTGCTTTTACGGTTTGTCTCCTCTAACATTCAGAGATTAGAAAATAGAGGGGGGAAAAAAATAAGTGCGGCTAGTAGCAGTCGCAAACGTTAGCTGGACGTCCACCCAGCAAAGCCTGGTTCACAGCCTGAGTGTCAGAGACAGTGTGAGTGACATCAAAGTCAGCTATTTAATCCATGTTAAACAAGTGAAGGCTAGTTCTGTAGTGGGGTTTGTCATTTTCACACCTCGGGAGAGGAAAAATGTGATCGTGACAGAGATTCCAGCAGTAAGCCACTCTTAAAGATGGATGGTTGGACAGAAAATGGACAGAACATTTACAAAAAACTATGTCCTACATTTCCATCGCCCATGGTACATATAACCCCCTGGCAAAAATGATGGAATCACCAGCCTCGGCTGACGTTCATTCAGTTGTTTAATTTTGTTGAAAAAAAGCAGATTACAGACTTGACACAAAACTGAAGTCATTTCGAATGGCAACTGTCTGGCTTTAAGAAACGCTAAAAGAAATCATGAATAATAATGTGGTAGTCAGTAACGGTTACTTTTTTAGATCAAGCAGAGGGGGAAAAAATGGAATCACTCAATTCTGAGGAAAAAAATATAGAATCACCCTGTAAATTTCTATCCCCAAAACTAACACCTGCATCAAACCAGACCCAGACTTGCTCGTTAGTCTGCATCTAATAAGGAGAGCTGCTGCACCAAGTGGACTGACGTGAATCATGGCTCCCACACGAGAGATGTTAATTGAAACAAAGGAAAGGATTATCCAACTCTTAAAAGAGATCTAAATCATCACGCAATGTTGCAAAAGATGTTGGTAATTCACAGTCAGCTGTGTATAAAATCTGGACCAAAATCAAATGACGTGGGAGGGTTGTTAAAGCAAACGTACAGGTAGACCAAAGAAGACATCAAAGCGTCAAGACAGAAAACTTAAAGCAATATGTCACAACAAAACAAATGAGGAATGAAGGGGAGGTTCAGTGATGAATCTGCAATCTGCAATGGGAAGGTGATGATGCTGGAACTCATGTTTGGGGCCATTCCAATGGTACTTATAAAGACAACTGCCTGGAGAGAACATGGACATTTCCACAGTCATTGATGATATGGGTCTGCATGTCAGGTAAAGGCCGTCATTAAATCTTCAATAAATACACAAGTTTACGTTGATATTTTTTTACACTTTTCTTATCCCATCAATTGGAAGGATGTTTGGGGATGACCAAATCATTTTTCAGGATCATAATGCATCTTGCCATAAAGCAAAAAAAGTTAAAATATTCCTTGAAAAAAGACACATAAGGCCAATGTCATGGCCTGCAAATAGTCCGGATCTTAATCCAATTGAAAACTTCCCAACCTGCAAAGCTGATCCGGCAACAGCAATCAGAGAAAATTTGGAGCCAGATTGATGAAGAGTACTGTTTGTCGCTCATTAGGTCCATGCCTCAGAGACTGCAAGCTGTTCTAAAAGCCAGAGGTGGTGCAACAAAATACTAGTTATGTTTTTGAGGGTTCTTTTGTTTTTCATGATTCTATCATTTTTTCTTCAGAATTGAGTGATTCCACATTTTTTTTCCTCTGCTTGGTCTAAAAGAAAGGCAATCGTTACTACCACATCGTGATTTATTTTAGCATTTCTTAAAGTCAGACAATTTGAAATTACTTTAGTTTTGTGTCATGTTTGTGATCTGCTTTTTTTCTACAAAATAAAACAACTGAATGAACATCCTCCCAGGCCGGTGATTCCATCATTTTTGCCAGAGGTTGTAGTATCATCCACAGATACCAGGGCTCTGGAAACAGCCAAAAGTACATTTTTTTGTGGTATTTGGCCAGCGCTGTGTTAACAACAGGTCCTGAGTCTGGCAGGGAAATCGCTTTTAAGGCTCAGGAACGCTTCCAGAAATCAATTTCCCTGAGCCGAGTTCAACGTGCGACCCGCAAACGCAGGTTACAGTTCAATGGAGCCACACGCGAACGTCATTTATAAATGGCCTCATCTTCCCTCTGCCAAAACTCCTTCAAAACAGACCCATGCAGAGTCAAAACCTGTACCGAGGTCAGACTAACAAAAAAACATTTTTTAAAAACGGGAAATGCTTTTCAGACTATCAGACCAGCAGCCCTCAGACATTTAGCGACGGCAGTTAGAGGAAGAGGACATGCTGCACCGCGGTAAACACGGCCCTTTTGAGCTTGGACTCACTTCTGTCACTGACTGCACTCTTTTCAGGAGTCCATTACCACACGGCTAGTTTGTTAATGTTAGTTGAGTCCATTAGGAGAACATTATGCACCGGTAGTTGAATGCTTTAGGGTGTCTTGGAGAGCGAAGTTGCTCAAATGTGGTTAATCACATCCCATCTCGCAGGGCCAGGGTGGGGGGGGGGGGGTTTCAGGCAGCCTTATTGTTCTGCCACCCCTTCACTATCTCGACCTCTCTGATGGATATAGCAAAGTGTGCAGGTCTTTTACCACCTCTCCTTCCTGATTCTTCCCTCCCTTTTTTTTATATAGACATTTTCTCTTGAAGCCATCTCTCTCTTTCTGCCTCTGTACTTGCTCTTAGGTCCACTGCACAGCAACCTCTAAATAATTCACATCAAACCACTCTTTGCATCTTCCGTGTCGTTCTGCTCCATCCACCCAGAATTTTTCCCCTTCTCACGCAGTTGTCTCGCGCACTGTATGTGCGCTCCCCTGCCCGTCTGTCCATGTGACGTACCAGCGCGGGCAGGCAGAATCCTCCCTGTGTGTGTATCGCAAATCTGCATTTGATTTTTGCGGTCGCGAAAATTTTCTCCTCCGCCAGTCTTTTGTTTTTCAAGGAAAGGGCCGACAAATACTAACGCACACACACACACATACACACGCGTGCATGCCCTCAATCGAAGACAGCCAGTCCTTACATAGTGATTAGCCTCTTTCTGTTCCTCTGAGGAGTCATTGTGCTGCGGATGAATAAGAGGCCACCTGGGAGCAGCTAATCGTCCCTGATAGACTGTCAGTCCAAATGTTACTACAAACTACACACAGCAAGACCCACGCATGTGCACACCCGCACACACTCAGACTGGCACTAAATCACACAGCCTTGTCAGTCATGTGACCTAACCCCCTCGGCTTTCTAAAGGCACAGCTCCAGTAACTGACTGAGGGCCTGTCAGGGATCCGGCGTAAAGGTCAGCTAGCTTAATTACTGATGATTAGGACCAGACTAATTGAAATCTTGGCTCATAGTAAATAGCCGTGATTGGCAATGTTTGAAAAAATAATAAAGCAGCGAGCAATTATGTGCTTAAGCATTCAGTGAGCAGTCAGGGACCTGTATTATTCATGGTGCTGCAGAAGTTCACGTGTACCAACGTGGATGTTGGATAAGCACTTTAGATACCAAAAAAAAACAAAAACAAACAATACGTTTTGAAATTTTATCTTACATAATTAAATTGGTAAAAGTAATCAACTACTGGCGAGATCTCCTGCGTACCCCAAAAAAAACAGCCTGAACCAGACTCACGGAGTGATTTAATCTGTCCTAGAATTGTATTATTTGCTAGTCTTTCTCTAAGACAAGCTTTGACAATGACCGTATTTAAATATCTGCAGTATTTTACATTGGGACATAAAAAGTAATCTCGTCCACCCCAGTTCTAAAAATGAGTAAATTCAACCCCATAAGAATGACAGGGCATGGGATGTGGCACATGGCAGTATTTATACAGCACAGACTGAGCCCAAATGAGCAAAAGGAAGTACATTCTCGCTGCTTCCATAAGAATCAACAAGAACAAGAAGCAGTCAGGTGCTGCGAATGAAATGTGCTTGACAAACTGATCCCATTAAAGCAGAGGTTTTGGCAATGTGCCTGTGTGGAACATTCACGTGTCTGCTAATGCCCACAGGCCTCAGCAATGATCTCAGAGAAGCAATTTTTGCTGTCCATCAATCGTGGTTGGGATTATACGGTAATCTCCAAACTATTTGGAGTCCACCATTGAGTAAAGAGAAAAAGAATTTGACAAGTGAAAAGTATTCCAGACAGTCGCCAATCTTTCCAGCACTGGATGTCTCACTAAGTTCCCCCCATCAGATATAAAAGTATGGCTAGTTTGGAAAGCCTCTTTTCTCTTGAAATAACATGACAGCAGGTTTTCAAACCGAACAATGTCCTATTTTTCACAGAAAAAAAACTAAAGGGAGATGGTGTGACACGGTGCTATGCATTATGACCAAAACAACTATCAAGCATGGTGGCGGAGGGATGATAGTTTGGGCCTGCTAGTCTGAAGTCTTGAAGATGGTGTAAAATAGTTGTACTTTCATAACTTTTGGAAAAGGAGATGACTTTCTTAATGACAATGTATACTTTTTCTTTCTCACATGAGCACAGTTTCAGCCTACGCACATGTGGCCCTGCCAGCAGCCATTGACCCAAAGGTCCACGTGAGCTGCCATGATGGGCCTTTACTTCACCATTTTGCCAACCAGTTCTTTGCCGCGCAACACCTGAACCTAGAACGCAAGAGACGCGTTTTCTCAACTCAGTTCTCGTGACCGGATGACGCCTGCTCGCGGTCTTTTGGGGGCATTATGAAGGCGGACGGCAATATGTGCGGATTGAATTCCTACATGGAGAGGACGGCGTTCCCCCAGCTTTTCCCATGAGCTTTGAAAAGAGCGGGATCGCTCACGGTGGGGAGGTCCAAGTGAAACACCGCGACAAGCAAAAGGCGCCATCACCAGTGGAGCATAAGGTTACACGGACCGGCCGTGACCTAATGGGGGGCTCTTACCGACAAACACGCGACAGTGTTGAGTCCTGTCCCCCGTGACGGACAGTGGAAGGGCCGGTTATCCCTCATGTCAATTTAAAACTTAAAATAAACATAGTCAAGCGTGGGGACATGAACAACCGTTTTTCAGACCTCGTCGACCTCTGTAAACATATCCACGGTTGTAACTCTCTTTTTGAGAGACGGAAAAACCCACGACTGCAGGGAGCAGCATTCTGACTGAGCACCCTCACTGTTCAACGCCGTATCCCCCCCCAGGTAGATGAAAAAGAATGCAATATTACTGCCTACAAGGGGCTGTCTTTGAAGTAAGTGTTTGCATAATGAAAGCGGAGTGAATCAGGATTGTTATGGTGTAGAGACCTCTCGTGCTTCTTTCTTCTTCCCACCCGTTTTCCTTTCCGTCACCATTTCCTGGGCCCAGTCTGTGCATCTTCCCTCTTCTTTTTTTTTGTCTCCCCCTCTCTCTGATGCGATCGCTCCCACAATCACCTTCTCGTCTTGTTCTGCTCGTTTATTACGTCCATGTTTCCATTTGTCAGGCGTTGTGATTGATTGAAACCGGAGCCGTTAAAAGGCCACACACGGGTCCGCTGAAGCCAGTCTCGCGACTCAGTGCTCACGGTTCGATGGGCTACTACCAGAATTAGCATCTCCTTGGCGAGGATCAGCGCTAGGATTTCCCGTTAAAGAGACTCTGTGTGGTGCAGAGCGATAAAGTCACAGGGGATTCTGGGTAAGGAGGCGGGAGGGATTAAAATAGACTTGCTTCTTGATCACATACAACACAAACACACACAGGAGCGCGCTCTCATCCCTCATTGGACTTTTCCACATCATGTCGGCCTTTATGCTCTTAATTATGGATGACTCTGGAATCTGATATTTTACGTGGCTGTTTCAAAGGCCAGACTTCCTCAAAGCTATGAATGTGCATTTAAAAATGAATTAACTGGAACCGTTTGATTTTAAAGACAGGACGCAATCTCCCTCTTTTTTAAGCCTTTTAGCTTCCAATTTCTAGGAGGACCGCCGCTCTCCCTTCTCTTGAATTCTCCCTCTTCAGGTGAATGAAGTTGGCCCACTGCCTTTGATTTTCTGTATCACACTGGACTGACTCCCAGTGTCTGATTTAATTGCTGCTGAAGTCCATGAATTCACAATGGATTTGCCATCCCAAAAGGGTGCTAATCCTAGTAGACATGTCTTTATTGGAAGTGCCTATTCAATTTTATGCAAGAGGTGAACTTCCAGAGAGGGTTGTGTGAAGCAGACAGAGCCAATGAAAGTGCAGGAAGGTTGTTATTGATTTCCAGCTGAGATTTGATTTGATTCTTTTACACAAACATCCTTTTGCTTAAGCTGGAGGGAGTTTGTCAGATAGGGCGACTTGGTACTCCGTCTGCTTTGGCATTACTACTATATTCTTTCAGAGTCTCGTCTCTGGTCAAAAGCCACATACTTGTGGATTTTTCAGTTCGGTTTCAAATCAAACCTTTCATTTTCCTTCAAAAACACTGACACTGGACTGAACCCGTTTGGTGTCATTGTTTGTGCCAAGTCTAAGCATCTTCAGGTCTCAGGCATCCTCATTCAAACACAAAACTATTCACCGTGTCGTGGGTTTCAGCTGGAGCAGGAACCATTCCAGCTGTTATAGAAAAACACCGCAGCTTGGAAAAAAAGGTTTTTGTTTTGTTCCGTTTCATCTCTTTGAGCCGTTCTCATGGAGAAATAGCCGTGTTTGAGGATTCCCGCAGACAAGCACGCTCTGAAATACCCAAATGAGCCTGTCTGGTATTTGTAACAACACAATATACAATTTGACTGAAATTACAAGCTTTTCCTGCACTGATATTGGGTTTTTAACTTCAGCAGATCCTTTAGATTATTGAAAAGGCATATTTTTTTCCCATGGCTCTTTCAATTGGTCATACCCCTGTTTTGCCGAGGTAAGATGCCACTTCTGGAGCCTGTCCCAGCTGACATTTGGCGAGAGGCAGGGTACACCCTGGACAGGTCGCCAGTCCGTCACAGGGCAAAATGGAGGTGCAGAGTCATAGTGCAGCCATGAGCGAAATTGGAAGTGAATAGTAGGGCAGAGCTGCAGCTTGCAAACTCAGATGTGTTTATTCATTACGCGCCTCTTACCAGCTACAGATGACATAAAAGTCAAAGATGAAGTCAAAACAGACGGAATGGACATCCATTAAATTTTTCTTTTCATCTGAGATAATAACAAATAAAAAATCTACAATTTTCACCTCTCATATTGAATTGTGTAAAAAAAAGGAGTAATATGATTTAATATGAATACATTTACGGCCGCTGTGAAGTAGATGGTTAGAAGACGGGATTGCAAGAAAAGGTTGGTATATATGCGCTATGCTCTGAGCCATAACCTGACAGTTGCGTTTGATCTGTCCAGAGGACCAGCTGCCCCCAGGGTTCCCCACCATTGACATGGGCCCCCAGCTCAAAGTGGTGGAGCGCTCTCGGACTGCCACAATGCTCTGCGCCGCGAGCGGCAACCCTGACCCAGAAATTACCTGGTTCAAGGATTTCCTGCCCGTTAACACGTCCAATAACAACGGACGGATCAAGCAGCTCCGCTCAGGTAACCAGCGCTTTTATCCCATTATTCTTCTCCTTCCCCACAGTCCCAGCTTTTATCCCCCCCCTCAAGGTGTCTCCCTCCCACTATGCTTTTATCCCCCTCTTATCCTCTCCCTGTCTCTCCCAGCGAACCCGTTTTTTATTATCTTCCTTCAAAATGTGTCTTTTCTGTTCTTGCCCTCGTTCAACCCTCTCCTTATTGCTCACCCACCCTCCTCCTGCCGTGGTCTGTGGCTGTATTTTTCAGCTGCCTTCCTCCGCTGCTGCTATATTATGAGTTGGCTGCGTATGGTTGCCAGCCCCCTCTGAACTCCTCAAGGCAAAAAGGTTTCGTTGCAAACTCCTAACTTTTCTCCAGTCTCTGAGGACTTCCTGGGCAAATCACCATCCCAACCAGTTGGATTTTTTCATTGACCAAACGTTTTTTTTTCTTTTTCTTTTTCTTTTTTTTCTTAAATCTCTCTGGCGAGCGTAGGCGCAACACGTGTCAAAGCTCAACAAATTCCTCGACCCAGTCGGCATTGTAAAGTCAGGTGATGGTGGGATATGTCTAAGGAATGGCCTGTTTGATGTAGCTCACTGCTGTGACTAAACACTTTGTTTTTCCTCTTTTTTTTAAACTGTGGAATTGACTCTCTGAAATTGTATGAGGAAACAGACGTGCCTGACCTAATATCTTTCAGTCAGTCTTCTCTGATAGCCACAGTAGTGTGTAAAATCCAAACTTATCAGAAAGCCCCCTTCCTCCTTGGTCCTCCCTCTGCTTCCAGGGACAAACCATTCCTATGATTGGACGCGCCGCTATCCTGCTTCTTAATGGATTACAACCTTTTTCTTTTGGTCATCCTTGCTTTTTTGTTTTTTAATTATTATTATTATTATAACCTGGCTCAACACCCTAACCCAGGACCCCTTTTCTGACTTGATTATCCATAAGGATATTGTGTAACAACTTTAACGTGTTGAATACTTTGTATGTTTGCGTAGTTTCTTATTTGTAATGACAAGACTTTTCAATGTTAAGATTTGTTTAAGTACCATGTCATGTGTAGTGCAGTTTCACTTCATTCTTAAGGTGTTTCAACTAAGTCTACACATCTGTGTAACCAATGGTCCGATTATAATGCCCTGTCTATGCTGTTCTTTTCTCTCTGTATCTTTTTTTTAACCACAGAGTCATTTGGTAAGTGCTTCTGTTCCGAGGCCCACACCCTCACTGTCCACTTTTCTATTTACTGCTCACTAATGTTGCTACTCCTGCTGCTACTGCTCACCTTTACACACACTGCAGTGTTATTAAAATGCATGGCATGCATTTTACTAACAGTCACACACAGTAATTCAGAAAAACACTCACACGCATAATGCACTTCACGTTGTTTTGGTTAAAACTAAACACACACAGAACATCCACAAACACAGAGACACGCATTACGTACCTGTGTCACCCTAGAGGTAGCTGGCCCCACCCTCACCTGTGCACCTGCAGCTTTTCCACACCCAAAGAATTCTAACTCTCTCCTCCCACTCACCTATTTACTTTTTCCACTCGTTCACTTATTCAATTATTCTCTCCCTCACTCACTTACTCTGTCATTCACTCACCAACTTAATCTCTCCACTCTGTTGTATAGAGTTACCAGTCAATAAGCCATCATCTGTAGATAGCTGTTAGGGATGCCTTTGGTGGAGCCAGAGTGGAAATTAGTCAATGGAAGCCAGGTATCAAGCTACCAGATGTTGACTGTACACTGTAATGCATGTATACCACAAATCCTGGTTGCATTACAGTGTAGTGAAGCAGAAATGGTCTCATTATAGATACGCTCCTTCAACAGCTGCAATAAAGATTAGTGAGGTTTAGAAGAAAATCCACCCTTCTGTGCTCTTCCTTTTTAATGTTTTTTAATTTGTTTTTAGGGCCATGATATCCACTTTTGGCTGAAATGCCTCTAACCTTGGTCATTTGTCACGTCTTATACGTTAGTCGTGTGCAGAGCTGGCTCTTGACACATCGTCCTTCGTTGGTCGCCATGGAAGCTGCAACGAGAAAAATATATCTAAAAACGTCGATCTTTAGCTCCCTAAAACCCCTTAATGTGTTGTCATAGTTTCCTCTTCTATCATAATATCATACAATTTACTAAGGGAAAGCCCCCCAACAATTATTTTATCAATAAAATAGCAACAGCCGTGTGTGAGGCTCATTAATTACAAGTAATTCTGATAGTCAACCCATAATTTTCCCTCGGTCACCAGAACATCTACAGCCTGCTCTGGTTGCGTGAAAGTAGATGCACATGGAACATCTTTTGATTTGGTGAATGCAAAACTCTATTACAGTGGGTATGATTTATTACAGCAGCAAAAGGAACACATATTGCAAAATGGTCTCTACACTGACACAGTAAATTACTTTTCATTCTCTAATTAGGTCCCAACTATCCACTTCACGTACACTTTGAGCTGAGGAGAGTTAGTTTCCTTGATATTTTCTCCCATACTGAGAGAAATCTGCATGAAAAATTCACGTGTTGTGCGCTTTTGAATTTGGACTTGGGTTGAGTAAGAAAGCCAACTGTGGTCCGGTAGCATTTTTTAAAAATGATTAGGTCATAAAAAACATCCATAGGAATCAGTTCTTGACAATAAAATTGAACAGGAGGGGGGAAAAAGTTGTGTGTGTTCAAACATCTGTAGCTCAGCCTTTGAGTGATTCCAACTGTTGAAACCAAATCAGGCTTTTTTAATTTTTTTGTGCCAAAATCAAGTACTTACTCCATGCGGTTGTGGAATAACTCTCAATTAACTTTTTAGTTGGCCAGTTCAGGCAATGTGTGGTCGTTTAGTGTGCGTCACACTTCTGTGAAGGAGTAAATTGTCTCACAAAGTGTCAGAGACAGCAACAAAAAACAAAATAATTTTTTACCAGAATCTGTAAGAATCACTGTTGGAAAAACTAATTTGGACGAATCCCTGTAAGCCCTGAAATACGACCGACACTTTCACCAGTGTTTAATGTAAAAAAGATCTGCATGAAGATAGGGATCTTATGCCTCATCTAAGGTCTGTGAGTTATTAGGGGCTTTAGGAACCCAACAACACAGAAAGTCACATCAACCCAACAAAGAGATGAATGATGCCATGCGTGCTGGTATAATATAACATAATAGGATACGATACTAAATTAAATTATACAATCCCATGCGAGACTGTTCAATACGATATAATAAATCCAATATGATACAGTCATTTACAATAAAATGCGAAAAAATACAATTTGATGCAATAACATCCGATTCGATGCAATTCAAATAATGCAACACAATGATTATGGCAGCAGAAGTTTATGACAGTGTCATGTCAGTCTTATGCACACCCCTTCAAATAAAGTGTTACCCAGTGTGCTTTACCGTATTGTCCCTTTGGGAATATGTGTGCTGAGCTCATGCACTCCACACATAATTGCCTTCGCAGTGATAACAGAAAAGTATTGAAGGGTGGATTTGATCATTGAGGATCAAATATGTTTCTTTTTCTAGTTGTACATATACACATTTCATACTAGAAAAGACCTGGTGTTTATCGCTTTCAGGACGATAGTAGTTTTAAAGGCTCAAGGCATATATTTAGAGCCCACCAGTCATCTTTCTTAGAGACTTCCTCTACTCCTCGAGGCACATCTGCCCAGCTGCAAGTCAATGAAGCCAAATCAATAACCCATCTCCTTATTGCTCCTTCACTGTCTGTCGCTCTATCTAAGATCTGTTTTTCCTCTTCTCAGGCTTATTCTGTCTTTATTTATTCTGTCTCCTTTTTTAATGCCTCCTCTTCTTCTCACTCTCTAAAGATCTATATTTTGAGCCTTTCTCTCTAATTTGATTCTTCTCCTCTTCAAGTTATCTCCCCCCAGTCCCTCCCTCCCCGAACCCCCGTCTTCTTCTATGGTACTAACATTTTCTTCTTCTTCTCCTTCTCTAATCTCGTGCATTCATTGCCCACTCAGGTGGCACGCCCATACGAGGTAAGACTGCTGGGAGGACCAACATGACACAGTGGCCTGAATCTTTTTCAACCCCTGCTTCCTACTTGTCCCCTAGATCTAAGGAGCAGTTGCTGGTGGGTTTATCAATATGGGCTTCAGGGCTTTGGCGTATTGGTAATACCCATCCAACTGCTTCAGATCTGCAGTAGGCACCAGAGGAGGATTTGGGAGTTGTGCCAGCTTTATCATTACACTATGACTGTCATCCTCCCCCTTTGCTCATCTTTTATCCTCTCTTCATCCTTATATTTTTCCATCTCAGCACTCACTCTATGGTTCAGATGCCCATCGCTTCCCCCCTCGCCATATTGTCACTTCTCTATTCATCTGTTTAAATCATTTAAGATTTTCAAATTTGTTTCCAGTGCAAAAGCATGCTGTGTTTACAATTTGGGTTTATTCTTTTTTTTTTTATTTTTTTTTTTTATATTAAGAATATCCTTACTTCTTCCTCTGTTTATTACTTTTTTAAAAAGCTAACTTTCTTTTAGTTTTTTCAATCTTTTTTATTTAGTTTTTGGGGGGGTTTTCCCCGGTTTTTGATGGTTCTGACCGAAGCTTGACCCAGCCCCTCCCTTCTATCTTGTCTATATTTGCCCAATCAAACGACCCAGTTTTGTTTTTTTTTTGCCCCCAGCTGTTATTTGCTCTGCCTGAATAGTCCAGATGGCGAAGACTCAGACACACAATATTAGTGTGCTCCCACCCACACGTACAGTAAATACGTCAACCTACGCACACACACACGTCCCCTCATGCTTTTTTTGTTTTTTTTTCACCATCACTTTCTCTTGTCTCCTCCATTGCCAATAAAAAGCCCCAAACAACCACTTTTTTGATAAAGTTTTTCTGGGCGCTTTTTTTGCCTTACCTCTCCATATTGAAAGAACCACTGGTTGACCTTTTTTTTTTGACAGTTTTTCTATTTTCAGGGAGCAAGCAAGCATCCGTCTCTTCCCGCGGCATTGCGTATGTCGTTCCTATTTTTTTTCCCCCAATTTGTTGGCCTTGATGGAGCTTGATTGATGTACTTCCTTACTGGGTGTGTTTTAAACTGACATCACACTCCTGATCCCATTGGTGGATCCGCAAAGGGTTGGGGGGGGTATCTAATTGCCATGACAACATCTTTCTCACCTTTTATCCTTGGAAAAAAAAAATGATTTGCTCCTAAATATCTCGTCTCAATTTTCAGCAAAGATTTTTTTTTCTTTTTTTCCTTTTTTCTTTTTTTTTCAGTCTTATTCAGTATGTGAGTGGATTTCACCATGCTATATCTGCTTGGTTTGTGTGTTTCTGCCGTGCATGAAGACGACATTCTCTGTTTTTGTAGGCTTCTTACCTCACTTTTTAGTCTATTTTTGTTTTCCTCTCACTTCTAAATCAGGAAGCTGTTTTTGTTTTTTGGGCAGATTCTTACTGGCAGTGGTGTAAACTTTGCTCATGACACATTTTGGCTCCTTTTATAGCCCCGTGCTCCTCGCACAGAGTTCAGCTCGTCTTTGCTTACAAACTCTCCAGACTCATATATTTTTCTGAAATTTTCACCATCTCTGTGCATTGATGTACTTGTGTAATCACGTGTTTTTACCAAATTTCCTGATGTTTCCCACTTCTGTGTGATTACTCTTTTTTCCCCCCCTCTGTCTTTCTGTGTGACACCCTCTCCTGCCTTCTTCTGTATCTATCCTCTTCATCCATCTAGGCGCCCTCCAAATAGAGATGAGTGAGGAGTCCGACCAGGGGAAGTATGAGTGTGTTGCCACCAACAGCGATGGAACACGCTACTCAACCCCAGCTAACCTGTATGTCAGAGGTAAGATGGGAACCAGCACGAGCCCGCATAAACCAGAGGACATAAAAATCTATCTGTAAATGGAAGATACAGATTTCGTAAGACTTTTTGTGTACAGACGTCCGTTAGGGTTTTCTGTGTTATATTGCGGGGACACAATTCCATTAAGCTTGCGGCACCTCGTGTTCCTTGAGGGTAATATTCATAAAGCAGGATGGTTGAAAATTGCCTGCTAGGCTCATTCTACTTTTCAGCCATTAAGCTTTCTACCCTGGCCTTTCAACCCCGAAGAAAAACTAAATCATCATCTTGTTACGGCGTGTATTTCTTCCCGAATCTCTGACATGCCCACAGTCTCCTCAGGCAGTGTCATCCATGCCCCTTTGACAGAGTCGCTCGAACTGCCGACAAATGTTTGATTCTTGGACTCTTTTTATACATATATATATATATATATATATATATATCACCCCAGAGTTAGTTGCTCTGTTGTCTTCCCGGCCCTTCTGAAAGAATTCCCTCTCTGAATCGGATGTAGCCCGAGGGGCGCTTGAACCGAGCGCTCACACGCGCGTGCCGCTTTGTCGTCCGCTGGTATGTATATGTAACAAAGAACAGACAAACAGGACAGAGTCAGTGATGTGCGTCTAACAGTTCTTGCAAGGCCAGTAAAATCTCGCCGTGCTGCTCAGTGAGTGTTTGACAGGCGGTCTGTGGAGACAGCTGGCCGCGGAGGCTGCCTCAAACTAAAAGGCTTCTCACCATCTACTGTACGGCTTTCTCTCTTGTCTCCCCTCACTCCTCTCTTTCTCCTTCTCCGTTGTCTAACTTGTTTTTTTTTCTCCCCCCCCCCACGTCTCTCTGATATTTCCCGTTTTCCTTCCTTTTCTCTCCTGCTCTCCCTCCTCCCGTCGGGCTTTGCCCCGCCTCTCTCTGCAGAGCTCCGAGAAGGTTGGTACACCACCAGCTGTGTGGCTCTTTTTGAGTCTCTCCTGTCTTTCCTTAAGCTTCCATTCACGTCAAGTTTAAATGTTCTTGTTCATTTCACTCTGTAATTTTTCCCCGTGTGTGTCTGTTTGCTGGGTGTGTGTGTGTGTGTGACTTTTTAAATCTTTTGTGTTTCCACTCATGAAATATTTAAAGGTGTACACTTTAAGATGGCATTAATAAAACATTTTTGATATAACATGCACCCGAGTGGTGCTGCACCAGGCTGTCTGCATGCTCGCAGTTTAATCTGAAAGCTGTAAAACTTCCTCATGCTGCTCATCGTGCTGCTAGACAGGCCCCCCGATTCCTCTCTGCCTTTCTACCCTATCTCGAATGCCTAATCACCCTCCTCTCCTCGCCTCTCTACCCCAGTGCGTCGCGTCCCCCCTCGCTTCTCGATCCCCCCGTCCGACAGCGAAATCATGCCGGGGGGCAACGTCAACATCACCTGCGTGGCGGTGGGCTCGCCCATGCCCTACGTGAAGTGGATGCTGGGAGCCGAGGACCTGACGCCCGAGGACGACATGCCCATTGGCCGCAACGTGCTGGAGCTGACCGACGTGCGCCAGTCCAACAATTACACCTGCGTGGCCATGTCGACGCTGGGCGTGATCGAGGCCATGGCACAGATCATCGTGAAAGGTGGGTTTTCTGCCAAGGAGAGCGGAGGATAGGAAGAAAAGACAAGTCAAGAATTTCTTCTTTTTTTTTTTTTTTTTCTTTGCTACTTATAAATGGCCACGGAGACATAACGGCAACCTTATCCCTACGATAATAACCCCTTGACTACTTTTGACTTTTTTTTCCACACAGTAAGCATTTTAAGTACAATAATGTGGAATCCTCTTTCTCTTTTTAAAATGTATTTATCAACTTGTGGACTGGAAGGAATTTTTTCTCCCCCTCAGCTCTGCCAAAGCCTCCTGGCGCCCCTGTGGTGACAGAGAGGACTGCAACAAGCATCACTCTCACCTGGGATTCGGGAAACCCTGAGCCTGTGACCTACTACATCATTCAGGTGTGTCTGTGTGAGCGGCCTAAAACCACCAACGCACATCCCGCTGCACGGTACTGCTGCAAGCGTGCGCATGTCTGAGAGCGTATAATGAAGTCTGGGGCTTTATATCTACATAAACTGTTATTACCAGGCTCACCGTCTTAAGTGGGGCTTTAAAGGAAATATGCCTCCTGTCTTTCTTGATGGTAATCAATGTTCTGCTCAAACAATATCTGGTATCACGTGGCTCTTCTCTCCGCTGAAGGAGCGTTGAGCTTAGGTGTAGGAGTGAAACCCGAAATGCTTAAATAGTGCCGACTAAATACTCCATTTGCAAAAGGCAGCACACCAACGCTCACATTACAGCCATGTGCAAGATGGCACAGGTTTGAGTTGGGTAATGAGAGCACGGTGCTACATTGTTCATATGCATTTATGTGCACAGAGCAAGCTATTGGTCCTCTTGAATTGTTTAATACTGTTGAGACTGAGCTTCCTCCCCCATCCCTCCCTTTTCTGTCTCCGGCTTCTTGCAGCATCGGGCCAAAGGCTCCGAGGACCCCTATAAAGAGATTGATGGCATAGCCACAACGCGCTACAGTGTGGGGGGCCTCAGCCCTTACTCCCACTACGACTTTCGGGTGGCGGCTGTAAACACCATCGGCCAGGGCCCCTCCAGCGATGTGGTGGAGGCGCGGACAGCTGAGCAGGCCCCCTCCTCGCCTCCTCGACAGGTCAGGATGAAACCTTCCTTTGGACACAGCTGATGGAGGTTTTAGCGTTGATTGGGGGGAAAGAAAAAGAAATAGCTTTGTTTGTTTTTTATGGGGTTTTTATGCTAGAAAAAGCTTGAATATTGCCCATCTATTTTTTTTTCCTGTAGGTCATAGGTCGGATGCTGAGCGCCACAACAGCGATGATCCACTGGGATGAGCCAGAGGAACCTAACGGACAGGTGGTTGGTTACAGAGTTTACTACACCTCTGACAACACGCTGCCAGTCAACCAGGTGTGTGTGTGTGTGTATAAACAAGGCTTTTCTTTATTCGTCTTTTTCTTATAATCCTGGTGGATAATAACCAGTGCTGCCTTAAAGCATCACACGCAAGTTTGAATATGTGCTATGTGACTGTGTTGCCCAGTGGGAAAAACAGATGGTTCGGAGTGCCAACTTCATCACCATCCAGGACCTGACCCCTAACAAGACTTATTACATCAGAGTGCTGGCCTTCACCTCTGTGGGAGACGGACCCTTGTCCCAGGACCTGCAGATTATAGCCAAAACCGGAGGTGACATTAAGCAAAAACAGTTGCCGGACATGTTTGCTTTTACCACCCCGCGTAGAAGATGTACAGATCCTCCTGTTCTTTGTCTCCGCAGTTCCGGCCCAACCATCAGAATTTAAGGGCGAGGCCAAGTCAGAGACCAGTATCCTGCTGTCCTGGGTGGCCCCATCCATCCAGGGTGGCCCGGACAGCCAGATCACAGGGTACGAACTGGTCTACCGAAGGCTGGACGACACAGAGGAGGTGAGCGAGACTGGCCGGAGAACAAACGGATGGTTGGGTTGATAATAAGGGTTGGAGACCATCTGATAGGAGTTCTACAGAGTGGCTTTTCTTTGCATTTCTGCAGAGGAAAGTGAGCTTTGAGCCAACAGCCTCCTACCTCTTGAAGAACCTGAAACCCTTCTCGACATACACCTTCCAACTAGCAGCCAAGAGTAAAAACGGAATTGGAGCATATACCAATGAAGTGTCCATTGACACTCCACAAACGCGTATGTATACAAAGAAGCACTGCACAGTGTGGAAGTTTGAATGCGTGTGTTTGTTTGAGAGAGACAGAGAGAGAGAGAGAGACAGAGAGAGAGAGAGAAAGAGAGAGAGAAACCGGTTTCCTTTTTGACAATGCAAGTGTTGAAATCTAAACAATTATTGAACCTCATGTATGCATCAAAATCTGAACTTCCTACATCTTAGGGCCATAAAGTGATAAGGTTGTGTTGCACTGTCAAAAGGAACCCAGAGCTTAAGCCAAGCTCAGGATTGATATTTCAACAAATATATGATGAGATTGTTTTTTGCCATCCAAAATTCAACATCAGATGCCTTTTACACAAACCAGCCACAACATTAAAACCTCCGGCTTACAAATATCCCCGGAAGGCCCCCTTATTTCTAGAAAAATCAGCTCCTCGTGTTCCTTTAAACACTCATGAGTGTTTTTTGGGGGGGGACGGGGGGGTTTCTATACGTAGCAGCTGTGAGTTGTGAGACTGGACAGTTTACAGCTTTGTTTGAGTCGTTTGATTTCATGTTAAACGTATTGGCTGCCAATCAAGTGGCATTCTCTGAGTAGCTTAACCCAAAAGAAGGTCGCATTTGTGCTAAGCCCAAATCGAATTTAGTAATGTGTATTATTATGTTAATCCCAGTCACGATATGTAGACATGAAAACACTTTAGTCTCACATCATGTCGAAAGTTTTAAAAGGCTGCAGAGATGCTTGGTTTAGCTTGTTATATATAACCGTTTGCTTGTTCTGGCAAAGTTTTTTATAGCTGAGTTGGAAGGCCTAATACCAGAGAGGAGTGCTCCACATTTAGAATAATATTCGATTTTGATTGATACGCATATACTGAAGATCTGCAGGAGCACAATCTCTGCAATTTAACAGATACATTTTGTGAACGTCAGTCATTGATGGAAGTATGCCCTATAAAATCAAAACTGAAATATTAATGGAATATCCTATCCTATCCTATTGTTTTATTTAGACTCCTTGTAAAGAGGTCAGAATATTTCAGCTTCTTTTTTTACCGCGAGTTTTGGCGCTTGGTGTCAAACTCCTGAATATCAGGAACGTATAACGTCAGGATTTCATCATCCATTTTCACTTCGTCTATTGGTGGTTTTAATTCTGTTGTTGGCTGGTGTGCTGTGCCAATATTTTCGGCGCTATATGACAGCAGCACTTTATTTGTTGGCTACCAATCTGAGAGCTGTAAGCGATTCAGTCAAAATAAGGTAAGAGGCCAGAGGTTCTGCACATAGACACGTAAACCCCGACACGGATCACAGAGGCCACAGTAGGCTGTGAGGACAAGTAAGTCGCGGGCAGGTATTTGTTCTGTATGTAAGCTCTAGTCAGTGTTTTTTGTGTTGCATTTCTTTTAAGCCATCCACTCGTTTTCATGAATCAAAACATTTAAACCAAACAGATGTGACACCCATCATTCAGTAACTCTGTTCGGCCATCTTAATTTCTAGTCGCAGAATCTTCTTTTGAATTTGTTTTGTTTTTTTTGTTGTACGTGAGACTTCTGTTCGCCAGTGTTTTGTTTTCATTTTATGTTTCTTTGTCTTTTGTTCTCTGTCGTCTGCTCACTTTCATCTCCATTCATTCTTGGCACATCTCATTTCCTCACCCCTCCACCCATCGATAACTTACACGACAAACGACATTTACCTAAAACACTCCCGCCTCCCCCCACTGTGCCTCCTCAAAACGGGCCTCCCAGTTCCCTCAGCACCTCCCCAGGACATCACGTGCACCAGTCCCAGTTCTACCAGTGTCCTGGTAAGTTGGGCCCCGCCCCCCCTGGAGTTTCAGAACGGCATCATAACGGGCTACTCCATCCAATACTCAACAACAGAGGGAAACAAAACGTCAAAAAGATTTGATGGAATTCCTCCAGAAGGTTCTTCATACCTCCTGGAAAACCTTGAGAAATGGACTGAGTATGGCATAACGGTGCGAGCGCGCACGAAGGCTGGGGACGGACCGGAAAGCTTACAGCTGCTAATCCGCACAGAGGAAGATGGTATGTTCCAAACAATCAAAAACCAAAAAAAAAAAAAACCTCCCTTAGGACGGCCCGGCCAACTAACACTGGCAACCTTTAACTCACTAACCTAGAATTAATAAGCTCAAGGCACCCGTACCTAACAGCCAGCTTGTTCACCTGGCTTCTGAAAGCCTTCCGTCTCTTTTGAGCTGCAGTGTGAATGGATGGTGCACTTTTTTAAACCTCTCCCACTTTCCCTCTTAACCAGAATCCTCAACCGTCCGGAAGCCTCCCGCCGTTTTTCACCCCTGCTCTCTTTCACCAGCAGCTACCCCTTTTTCTCCAGAAATGGTTTTACCCACATTTTCCTTTTTCCACTTTTTTCTGAAAAGAAATGGTTTAACAGTCTTTGTCTTCACTAACAAAACAAGACTGCCCAAGTTGTTCCCGATTGCATTCCGTCCTTCCAAATCCTCCTTACCTTTACAAATATTTGAAAATTTGTCATCAAACTTTACTGAGTGTATCGATGCCATTTTGAGCAGTTGTCAATCTTTTCAGACATCTTTTTAATACTCATCCTTAATAATCCTCTTTGCTGGGTGCCTTAACTGCCTTTTTTTGGCTCCACCATTCTTGTGCGAGTGCTTTTGCCAGTCAGTCAGACCGCAAAAAGTGGCTGGAGGTTGTGTTCCTTTTTAGTGTTTTTCTTTTTGCTCTTCTTGAGAGAAGTGCAGCTCTTGGCAGCACAAGAGCGGTCTTTTTTGATAACAGTATTTTTCTCTTTGCCGGCCTGACACTGTTTATCTGCTCCTAGCAACAAATCCTTTGCTATCTGCCATTCTTATCTTTCTCTACATTTGCCTCCAATACTCCACTGCTTTTTTCCTCCATTTTTCCTCAAGCACTGTCATTTTGAACTACTTTGATTTTTTTTTTGAAGGCATCAGACCAGTTTAAGGCTTTTTGAGAAGTTGTATTTTTTCCATTTTTGTGACTTTTGGGTATGTTTTTTTTTTTTATATCTGCCCACTTATTTTTGATGAGAGATAATTTCACTAAAGTGAAAGCCTTTTACTTCAGAGCTTTGATTTCCCATCACCTGTGACCCTTGACCTTTATCCCAAAATGCATTTTTAGTTCCAAGTGGTCCTCCACGAGGAGTTGAAGCAGAGACTGTGAACGCCTCGGCCGTTAGGGTGAAATGGCGGGCACCGGCACCCCATCTGCAGCACGGTCAGGTCAGAGGCTACCAAATCCATTATGTGCGGATGAACTATGGAGAACCTCAGGGCCAGCCCTTTATCAAGGACATCCTCATCGATGACTCCCAGGTAACACTGGCATACTAACCCAACACTAACATTTTAACTTAAACTGTATTGGAAGTTACTTTATGGAAGCCAAATGTTTTTCTTTTTCATTACACTGGTATACAGATCATTGTTTGAAAGTTACTCGATGAAATTAGAATTCAGCTTTTCCTATTTTCCATATTAAATAAACAGAGCCATCTGTTAAAGTATTAGTTTGGTTATTACTCATTAGGTTTATGAATAATGAACAACAGCTGAACGCCCCTAAAAAGTTTTTTAAATAAATAATTAAACATTTTCTGACAACTTGAAATTACTTTGTACTCTGTATGTGGTGATTATTATTTTGGAAACCCAAATCTCTTCCAACAACTCGTAAAAATTTGCCATTTCAAATCAGTTTTAAAGTACATTCCACTTTGCAAGCAATAAATATTTTTCTTCCTTTTACCACGTGAACCATTTAATTTACCCAAAGCCTTTAAGTTATGTTTATCCCAAATAGAGCTATTTCTATTTTAATTTGGTTAGCTTAGTTATGCTATATAAAAAATTACCAGCGCTAGCCACCAAACTAATGTGGAACCTCTGACATTTCGTACATAATATAGCAATTTGAGTTTAGTTCAGTCTAGTCTGTTTTTTATGTTTTTATTTATTTATTAATCTATGGTTTTTTAAATATATTTATCACTGGGAATACCAACTCCAATAGTTAATTACCAATAGGTGAATGGTACGCTTAACTTAATGTAAGGTAGCACTTAGCATTCTGTTAGCTACCATTAAACAGAGCTATTGAATTAGGCTGGAAACGACAATTAGGATAATTGTTGGCAACTAAATACACTATAGACAGAAATGTAATTCATTATTATTGGTCCATAGTTTTTCTTATCAGTAACCAAGTTTTGTTTGTGTCTGCGTTCAAAATGATTCAACATTATAATACTTTCAAAATGGAATAGGTTCTGGTTTTATGAGAAATATTCTAAAAAGTAAATATAGTAACATTTTTATAGTGGTGGTATATATAATGTAATTTTTCTTACATATTGTGTTTGTTCTTTTGTTTTTGTTTTTCGTCTTTATCGATTCTGCTTCATTGTTCAGTGGGAATATGGTGACTCAACGGAGTATGTGAGTAACCCTATTTAACCATATTTTTCATTAATTATAATCAACAAAAAGCCATAGAAGTTTATGAGTCATGTTTAAAAGATTGTTGCTTTTAAATCTGGTCTGAAGTGCGGATTTATGGTCTCCTTTCTGTATTTTACGTTTCGGATATCTGAAAAACACGCAGATAACTGAGAATATGAGTCATCTGTGAGAGTCGCAATTTATGGGATTTAGCTGTAGGCCACGAATTGGATAAAATAATAGGGTTAGTGTTTGGATGGAGACAAACCTTGGAAAGCTTTGAGCGTCTGTGCGGTTAAATGATATTTTGTGTTGAACGTAATGGTTTTTATGCTTTCATAATTTGATTAAGTTTTGCAGATCTTTGGTTATCTTCAGACTCTAGCCAATCAAACCACCAGTACCAGACATCTGTGCACTTCATTCTTTAGAAAAGTGTTTTTATGTGTAGAAACCACTTGAATAACAAGCACCACTATGACTGTATTTTTCTGTTCAAAATTCAAGTACTAGGCTGCTTTTTCTTGTGCCTTTTTGTTGCTGACATTACCTTTTATTGTTCTGCAGGAGGTGGTGCTGGGAGACCTAAAGGCTGACACTGCCTACTCCGTGTCGGTGGGAGCTTACACAGCTAAGGGTGACGGTGCTCGCAGCAAACCCATAACCGTGTGCTCTGCCCTGCCTCGTAAGTCCACCCACGCAAATAGGCTTAGGGTTTAACACAACGCGCAGTAATTGATGATGACGTTCAGCATTATTGATGATTAGCAGAGGCTATTAAATCATTTAATTGGTCATAATTCACTCTTGTCAAACGGTGCCAGGAAGAGGCTAGTCCGTTGGTGCCACATTAATCATATTTTACCGCTGTGCTTGAGGTTAGGAAAAACATGCTTTGCAATAACCTTTTAATTATTTTTTCATTATCCCCTCCACCTGCTCTTCTTGTTTCTAGTGCCTGAGAAACCCAAACTGATGGCCAGTGCCACGGATTCAGGCACTGCTCTGCTCCAGTGGTACCCCCCGCCCAACCCGCCCACTCCACTCTTGGGTTATCGCCTCACTTTCGGCCGACTTGATGTCCTTCCCTTTACAGTGGTAGAGTTCCCCACCAAGGAAACCCGTTACACAGCTCAGGATATCCATAAGGGAGCCAACTATGTGTTCAGACTCTCAGCCAGAAACAAAATGGGCTATGGCGAAGAGGCTGTGCGGGAGGTGACCACTCCAGAGGACGCCCCAAGTGGATACCCAGAGAGCGTTGTCTCGGAGGAGGCCTTTGCCAACTCGCTCCAGCTGGCGTGGAAATCAGTCCCGCTAATTGAGCAAAATGGGAAAATTGTGAAGTACTCTGTGCTCTACAAGGACATAAACAGCCGAGGAAACGCCTCGGAGGTTGTGGTGCCCGCTCCGGGGTCCAGTGTTTTGCTGGAAGGGCTGAGTGCCGATACTGTGTATGATGTCAGGGTGTGTGCGTTCACAGCTGTCGGCCGCGGGCCGTACAGCCCCGGTGTCCAGTTTAGAACGCAGCGCCTAGATCAAGGTAGGACGACGCTCGTACTCTTAACAAACCCGTCCTCGTTGCTCTAAATGCAAAACACCCTCTCCTAACAGCACATTTGAACAAAGTGTATGTTCTGCAAACATAGTTCCCACATGCACACAAACATGAACACACAACATCCGGTGACTCCATCCTAAGTGTCCCTTTTCATTGTCTTGTCGCTGTAGTCTTAAGCCCAGCATCCTTTTCTAAAATCAAGGTAAGAAACTGGGGTCTGGGGCATCTGTCCCTGTCTAGTCCCGCTGTCTGCCGATAACTAGCTTAAGACTGATGCTAGAGATTGTTAATACAGGTAAGGTTATGATGTTTTGTCCAGCAGAGAGGGGGGGGACACTGTGCTTTTGGAAAATACTAATTTTTCTTTTCTTTGTTTTTATATTTCTCTGCACTTTAGTATTTGCCACCAACTTCAGGGTAAAGGCGGCCATGAAGAACTCTGTTCTGCTCTCTTGGGAGATCCGAGACAAGAACCCCACCCAGCCATTCACAGTAAGAAGATGTCCAATGTGCTTTAATACATGCAAACCATACCTGGGCATCCAATAAAAACGCCTCGGATAACAACCTGGGAAAAAAAAGAACAGATTTATTAGTTAACTTATTTTTAATTTAAAAGGGCAACTCTCCTTTCCCTTTTTTCTAAAAGTTGGCAGGGAATTGACAGAAAAATCCAAATGAGATACTAACTTTCCTTTGTTGGTACTCTCTGCTGTTACAAGCTTTTTTTCATCCATGAAGCCAGTACTTATGGAAAAAGACTGGTTTATGTTTTTTATAGAATCCGCTGACATTTCACAATATGTTTTAGTCAGTATTGCATGTAACTACAAATCTTTCCAATGTACATTCCAATGTATATGTGACATTAAAATAAAAGGCCAACAGCTGAGACACAAACCTTAGTCTGTTTGGTGAAAGCAATCCAGCTTGCACCACTACCGCTCCTCCACTCTCCTGATGGAGGTGTTTTTGTTGTTTTGGGGGTTTGTAAGGAGTATGTTACTCTGCACTTTTACCACAGGCATGTCCACAATGCTCTGTGGACCAACATAGCTGTTACACGTTCTACATTGGACTGATCACACATTCTGCGGTGACTCACTTGGCATTCAAATTTCTCCTGTCAAACCTTTTGAGTCACAACTGAATTAAAATCTCAGCACTTAGGCACTTAAATACAAACACTTTTTCAGTAAGTTATTGTTTTTTATGTCAGTTGCAAATACATGAATGCTTTAGGTTCACCAATGTGAATTCATTCATTCATGAATTCATGTGCCATTGTATCCTCTCAGATCCTCTACGGGAAGGGTCAGTCTGTGGAAGTTGATGGCAAGCAGACGCAGAAGCTAATCACCGGTTTGGATCCGGACACCCAGTACTCCTTTCTGCTCACCAACCGCGCCAACAGCGCCGGCGGCCTGCAGCACCGGGTCACCGCCACCACGGCTCCAGACATCCTGAAAACCAAACCCACTGTTGTGGGAAAGACCAACGCAGACGGCATGGTGACCGTGCAGCTTCCAGCTGTGCAGACCACGGCAAAAGTCAGGTAGAGATGACTTAACCCGTTAACATCCCGCTCGACTATTTGGTAGAGCGCATTTTTCACTGATTATACTCAGACATAGGATACACCAGACTAGAGGAAGTGCACTTACCTAGACTAGCTCTAGAATTTTGTTTAGGTATGTGATGGCTAAATTAAACAGGAGTTATGGCATTTCTTTTTTTAGATCTCACAATTTCACCCAACTATCTGTGAAAAAAGCATTGATTCTGGTTGCTATTACTCCAAAGATGAAAAAATAGAAGAAAAAAAAAATTTCCTGTCCTTTTTTCTAAGTGTAGATGTTAAAGGGTTAACGCAGTTTCACTTGGGGAAGGAAATACGATACATGCCTCTCTAACACTTCCTGATCACTTTAGTGAGATTGCTACGTGGCAAGGAAAGGTCACTCATAGAGCACAATTCATGCACAAGACGATTCAAAGTGCTTTTCCTCCAAACATAGAGAGCTAGAACTAGAAACTAGAGAGCAGGAAAAACACCTTCAGTTGTCATACGCACAGCTAAATAGAGATGTTTTCAGCCTGGATTGAAGCATTGAGGCCTGTCTCATTCCTTCAGAGAGCCTGTTCCAGATTTTAGGAGCGTAACACTGAAATGCAGCCTCAGGAGACCACTAGCTGAGGTTGTCAGAGTCCGAGTGGGTTCACACGGCTCTAACGTGTCAGGGATGTACTTTGGAGACCAGGAAAAGCCATGTACACAAGCAGAGCTGTTTCCAAGTCTATTCCATCGAAAGAGTGAGCCAACATGCTACTTTTGTTTTTCCTGTTGTAGCATTTATAAACCATTATTACCGCCACGCACTTTCCATCTGTGAATATCACAGAAGGCAGATGGGCATATTTTCACTAATTTTTTAGGGATTTACTTAGGTTTCAGGACATGATTGGGCTTTTGAATAAAAGATACATATTATTAGTGGTATATATTGGAGGGCCTGATCCTAGTCCGTGCTGCGTTTTAGGGGCTACTACGTGGTGGTGGTGCCACTGAAGAGGCAGAGAGGAGGAAAGTTCCAGAATCCCTGGGAAGAGCCAGATCAGATGAACCTGGATGAGGTGAGACGCTCGCTGGGTTGGAGGGGACACGTGAAAAAAAATAGCTGAAGTAAACTCCAATCACTGAACAACAGTCAAGGGAAGATGTGACACTTATGTCACATTTGTAAGATACATCAATAATTACAGGCATTTTCTCCACTATCTTTCTATTTGTATTTTGTTATAAGGAGTTAGATGGAAAAATAGAGCAACCATTAGTTTCTTTTGAATCCATGGACTGCTTTCAGGAGACAGTCTTTATCTAATTTGAGTTCCTGCCTTTTTTATAAGGACCTCGTTTCCTCATGATACTGTTTTCAAAGTGCATCTGTGTGCTTTTGTGTGTGTTTGGTCAATTCCAACCTATTTTATCTGTGTAAATAGATGACTGCTGCAGCAATTCAGTCGATATAGACGTTTATGCTTTCTTTACCAAAGAGGGTTTCTATAAAACGTCCCTCTTTTTCCCCCAGAGTCTGACAGTACAGTTACTTGAGTTTTTGAATAGCACAGATGAAGATGCACTTTGTTTAAAAGTTCCACCTTTTAGGTGAGAATTGCAAACAGCTGTCCCTTCTGTTCTCCTTTTTCTGTTCACTTCCTCTGTTTGACCATCTGACCGTGCTCCCGTCCAGCTCCTCAAGGAGATCAACAAGACCGGCATCAGCCGCGGCCTTCGCATCCGCCGGCAGGCCGCCCAGTCAGATCCGAGGGCCTATGTCACGGCTCAGTTCAAAACGCTCCCCCAGGAATTCACGCTCGGTGACGGCCGAAGCCACGGCGATTTCCGTAACCGCCCCCTGCAGAACGGGCAGGAGTATGTCTTCTTTGTCCTCGCTCTCCTGGACCTCTCTGAAAACGTAAGCAGCGGTGCTTGGACGCCATCTCCTCTGGACCGAACCACCATGCTCCCGTCCAGCTTGCTCAAACCTTGTTGGTCTCTTCTCAGACGATGTTCTCGACCAGCCCTTACTCTGATCCGGTGACCTCATCTGACGTGGATCCTCAGCCAATTGTTGACGAGGAGGAGGGGCTGCTGTGGGTGGTGGGACCGGTGCTGGCGGTGATCTTCATTGTCTGCATCGTCATCGCAATTCTCCTCTTCAAGAGGTGAGAGCAGCTCCATGGAGGTGAAGATAAACTGTGGAGTCATGCCACCACGAGTAATGATTTAGTCTTGTTAAACTTTATTCTTTGTTTTGTTTTTGTTTTTTTCAACTAAATTAGAAATCTTTATCATCCTGAAGGCTTAGTTTAATCATTTAAATGAGAAATCAGGCCCAATTGTAATCTCATTATATTCCTTTATAGCGCTAATAACAGTTAGGTTTTATTTCCTTTTACATACTACGACCAGAACTAGCTTCCATAAAAAGCCACGGGAAGATAACACTATCAGCCATTAGCATTCTTCGTGATAATCATCTGGTCCTCTGGCTGGAGGTCTGTTTGTGCTCGTGGATAATTGCTGTGACAGATGTGGCACAGCAAAATTATTACCCTTGATGTTCATAATCTGATGTTGGTGAGCCCTGGATTGTTACCCGAGCTAATCTGCAGCTCGCTTGTCGCTAAGTAACCGTTCCAGCTACTTTTTCCAGCATGTTGTATGTCTTTTTTTTTATCATTTACAACCATTGTTCGTCATCACTGGTGGGAGCTGAGATTCTGCATATCTACCGTCTTAATGAGCAGCTGATTAGTTTGCACGTGAAAGAGGAAATGATGAGTTCAACGTTGTTTTTGTCCCTGATGTCCTTTGATCTGACACTAATGTTATTCTTCCCTGTCTATCCTTTTCCTGTCTGCTCGTCTCCCTGTTTGGATCCAGCAAACCTGACAGGTAAACATGCACACTTCCTGGAACCATTTCTATTCGACCTGCAGCGCTGTTCTTTTCCTCGAAAAGATTCCATTTAAAAAAATGCCTCCGAAAAGAGTGCTATAATTTTAGAGTTGTGATTGTGATGCTTTGATACCCGTGAGTAAACTCTGTTATCCAGCCGGTTCGTCTTTATTCGCTGTGCTACATGAAGATAGCAGACATAAAAGCTATATTTGGTTTTTAGAGACATCTGCACTGGATGGGCTCTTTCACTGTTGCTGAAAGAAGAGGAAATGCGTGAATAGGTTTCATAACTTCTGGCGGTGGGGGGAACAAAAAATAAAAAATTGAAAGCCTCCAACTTGCAATGGGATCATTTACATATAAAAAGCTAAAAACTAGGCAATCAGACTTCTGGGAGAATTTCATTGAGACATTTCCTGAGAATTACAGCTTTGATTTGTTCCATTTATTTCAGCACAAACCTCACAAATTGGAAGTAAATCTGTGCACCCGTCGGCTGCTGTCTGAGGGCTGCGCCTTCGGGGCCACGGGCCTAAATGCCTGCACCTCTGGTGCACCTATTGGGTGTCTGGATAACAGAAATCAGCCCCAAGACGTCCTGTTTCGTGCAGCCCTCGTCGTTTAAATGGAGCTAATAAAAAGTTAAAATGGCTGTCAGACCAGAGTTGGTGGTTTGGAGGATTGTATTTCAGTCCTCTGCTCTCCACATAATGCTTACTCTCATGCAACCAAAGCCCGCTCCAACATGACGGGTCAATTATCCCGGGGACTAAAAACAGAAGGCAGGGAGCTTTTTGGGTACTGTGAAATTCTTTTCCATAGTGTTGACATTTTTTGCATATTCCTGCCCAGACATGTGCCTGCCGAGGTTAGGCCGAAATGTGCAAGCCCCGAGATTGTACTTATTTCGTTGCGAGGTGTTTGCGGTCGAGGTGAACAACGTCTACATTTTCTTTTTCCAGGAAAAGGGCCGAGGCTGAGGGGAGGAAGGGCAGTTTTCCCTGCAGCAAGGCCATGTCCTCCCACCACCCCACTGATCCCGTGGAGCTGCGCAGGATCAACTTCCAAACTCCAGGTAGATTGAGGGGAGGTGAAGTGAAGCAGAGGCCCCCCGTTTGAGTCAGAGTGAGCTGTGCCGCTGAGGTTAACTGTGCTGTTTCCCTTTTCAGCCTACCGGGTATCAGTGTACCGCGGTTATCGACGTTTGTCAAGTTAGTTGGTCACAGTTCAGAATGGAGCTTTTTCTCTCTGCTTCTCATTTTCTTTTTCCCTTCTTTTTCATCGTAACCTCTCATCCCATAAAGGAAGCGGCTGCTTAAATTAACAACATCTCGACAATATTTGTTTAAAATCAAACGAGTGAAAGAACATTTTTAACTGCCTGTGCCATGGTCTTTTTTTTTCTCCTAATTTCACAAGCGGTGTTCATGTCCTCTGAGGACGTGTTATTGTGCCTCAGTAGCTTTCTGAACACGCACATTGTTCTCTCAAGCCTTTCTAGAGAGAAAGTGGTCACTTAACAAAAAAAACAACAACTTCCATTTGCTTCCATGGACAGAACACTAAAAAAGACCTCCTAAGAGACGCCTAACTCTTAACATTTCCCTCCAATGGAGCTCAGCTGTGTGGTACCTGTATCAAAACAGCCTCTTCTTTCTTTTTTTCCCCTTGTCTCTCTGTGCTCGGCAGGCATGGCCAGTCACCCACCCGTCCCCATCTCTGAGCTGGCCGACCACATTGAGCGCCTCAAGGCAAACGACAATCTCAAGTTCTCTCAAGAGTATGAGGTAGGAATACTGATGATCTAAACCTGACTGTCTCTCACTAGTTAAACTCATTCGTTTTTTTTTCACTGCATTTCTCATTGACTTGTCTTTTTTTCAGTTTCAGCCACCTCTGTTGTGTATTCATCAACCTAGGACAAAACAATGAAATTCGCATTAACCTCTTTTTGCTTTTCCATTGTTATTCATGCATTCGCCAAGAAAAATGTTGAATTTCTTTCCAAGAGAGTTTGCTTCCTGCTCACAATAGGCCACCAGACCAATAGATACAAGAAGCTAATGTTCTCTGAAATTAAACCCCAAAAAAAGGAAGACATTTCTTGATTGCTTTTCTTAAGCTCGCAGCAGAGTTAATGTGGAGCAGTAATGGCTTCCAGTCGCAGATAACGGTGAGCTGAACTGTGGCAACTCCACAATATGAAAAGAAAGCACACACATCAGCAGAAATATCCCCTAACACGCTGGCTTTATTTCGCAGCTAAGGCTAGCATCACAATGAGCTCCACAGAGAGCTATTAAAGGAGTAAAAATGTTTTTCTTTTGCTTGCGAAAAAAAAAAAAAAAAAAAAAGCCATACACCGAAAGTGCCTCTGGGCGAAGAAGGAGACACAAGGCTCTAATTGGCTACCGCAGCAGAGAGACAGATTGTGCGTGACAGATGTGTAGAGCGAGACCGGGACACACGTGGCAAAAAAGTAGAGAAACGGAAAGGGGGGGGGGTTTCATAGACAGGACCAGAGGGAGAGGGAGAGAATCCGTGCGCCATCCTGGTGAGAGTTGGAACCACTCCGCCGAGCCTCGCATTCCCTCTGCATGACTGTGCGCTTTGTTCGCTGCTGAGCCCTCCGTGAAACCAACAGCAGAGATGGATGGAAGAGGGTCCACAGGAGAGAGGAGGAGGCCAGAAATGACTGCGGCGCGATAATCAGACACACATGATCTTAGCCGTGTGGAGAAAGCCATCTTTGACTCGCGCACGAACACACGCACGTGCACTTATGCAGCACTACTCCTGTCCGTTTTCTCCCCACACCAAACCATAATTATGTGTCGTAAAATATTCGAAATTGCTAAATTGCTCTAGCTCTCCCGTCTTTGTCCCTCTCCATTGACAGCCCTATAATGACCTCATGTCTGCCTGTTCCAGCTAACAGCGATGGTTACACTGTAATTACCCTCCAGAAACTTAATGGTCTAGCACAACCATCCTCTCTCTACCAGTGGAATTTATTGGGCTTTTATCATCTTTGTAAAGCTTTCTCTGTGGAAAGTCTTTCTTGAAAAGGGATATCTGAAGTGGCCATGTTCCTGTCTCCCATTAGTAATTCTACAATAATCTGGAATTTGTAGCTGGTTTTTAATGGTAGGGTGTCAGTGCAGCAATACAGGAGAACGGGTATAAGGAGACATTCTGTTCTAGGGCCCAGGCTGCACTTTGGTGCAGTTTAGCTCATCCGAACAGTCAAATTCAACCCCATAAATCAAGTGCACCCAAGAAAAAATGGATAGGAAATAACCTTTTTTTCTAAAAAAAAAAAAAAGCTTGTTGCTTTGACACTTTGTAAAAAACAAAAACAAAAATGTTTTTTCATTAGTATTTTGACCACATTTACTGGAACGAAAAAAAAGAAACATTTCTGTATTGCTTTTCTTTCTTTTTTTAAACAAAGTCTTGATAATACGATGGTGGAATAGATTTCAGAAATCTGCATCAACTATTATACGCATGGCTTTAGAGGGTTATAAGGTAACATGTCAAGTTATTTCAGGAATGTATCTGAGAAACAACGAACAGTAGAGACACATTAGGGTATACATCCATCAGAATTTGAAAAGGCAAAGACCTAATTGATGTTACTTACTTATGTATCACATGTGCAAAAGACCTCAGACCAGTGCCAAAACATAGAAAACCTGTTTATTACAGGGAACATTTTTTTATACAGTATAATATAGAAATTAGCAGCGTTACAAAAGTAAAAACATAAAGACCAAAAGCAAGGGGGATTGCTAAAATCTGTCAATATAACGTGGAGGTGTTACCAAACAAGACAAGAAAATACTTTTTTTGTTGTTTTAACAATAGAAATACTTATTAGGATGTTTAAGGTTTTTGGTTTGTTTGCTTTTTGCTTCAACATCCTATACCATCATGTAGCCTCAGAATAACATTAAAATACCTTTTCTTTCAGGAAATGATTTATTTTACTCACATAATTTTGTTCAGTGCCTTTTTTCTCAGGCCATAGCTTCATGAATTTTCCTGGCGTAGAAATTATGCACATACAAATACCCTCTAACCCAGTTTCTGGCGGGAAATTCCCATCCACATTGCACGTATATTCTTTGGTTGGTCGGAATGATCAGTCGTGACCGGCAGCCTTTGATTTAAGATGATACTTACTTGTTGCGCTCTCGGTCCAACTGGCTGCCGAAGACACGTTGAGAATTTGGTTACCGTTTGATGGGGGGAGCATATACGCTCCCTGTTGGTGTGCCCAGTGTGTGAACTTTGACCAGTCAGAGCCAGAGAGCATCGCGAGCCGAGCCTGTTGATAATTAAAGCTCTTTTTTACGACTATCAGGAGACGAGAGCAAAACACTTCTCCCAACTAAATTGAGCCTCCAGTATTCTTTCTTCTGTTTCCTTAAGTTGAAAAAATACTCTTTCATTCTGATGGTCAGAAGTGTGTCAGCAGCATCTCTGCTGACCAATTCCAGGTTCTGCATTGTCACACCTTAAAGATGCTGCAAGAACCTAATGAATCCTAAAAATGGTGCCTTGTCCACAACACAATCAGAGTTTGAAACCTTTATTGAAGATTTGCAGGAACCCAACAGCATTTGGAAGTGGTCTCTAAACACAATTTATTCATTTCCAAAAAGGAAAATAGGGCACAAATATATTCTGGAGCTTCCCATTCTTGCTTGTTAACCCTAATAACTCAGAAATAGTCATTAAGGTATTATATTTGACTTACTTTCTTTCTGCTAGCAAATATTGATTTTAGTCAATTGAGTCCATTGAGATTTTTCAGCCTTACATGCATCTTACCACCCTAGGGATGAAATACTGGTACGAAGCTGCGAATAAGAATTCACCGATGCCTACATTATAAGACGGGATTTTCAGTAAACGCACTCGTTCCCTTAATTATGAGCAAATCAGCTTGTGGCAGTTCATCAGTTGTACTCACTGTGTGTTGATGTATCCATCTGAAACCTATTATCTTTAATTATACCAAAACATTTGTAAACTCCACTTTATCTTCTCCCCTGACCATCAATTTTGTGTGTTGCAGTCCGTTGACCCTGGTCAGCAGTTCACATGGGAGAACTCCAACTTGGAGGTCAACAAACCAAAGAACCGCTACGCTAACGTAATTGCCTATGACCACTCAAGGGTCATACTCTCCAGCATTGAAGGTAGGACATGCTCACGTTGTTTTGGAAATAGCCTTTTTATTAGCATCAATCTTTTTTATTTGTACATTTAAATGTGGCTTCAAAAATACAGGTTGGTTCAAATGTAGCTATTTAGTTTAGATGGATGGAATTATAGTCAGAGGCACACCTTTTCATAAAAAGTTCCATAAAAACAAATTAAATGTAGTTATAGAGTGAGGAGAACCAGTGGAGTTACAGATGTTGGCTGCTTATAGATACTGCTCACATTGTGTTCAGAGAATGTGAATGAAAAAGCTTGGTGGCCATTAACATCTGTAGTAATGATACCGTTGGGCAGTTCATCCTATCACAGTCTTCAAGCAAGGAATAAAAGGATGTTGCATTTAATGGTGACGGAGAGGGAGGGACATGAATTCAAGTTGGGGTTGTTCTCTCAATGAAAGAAATTTTTTGCTTAGTCTTTTTTGTGTGTTATTAACCTTTATGTCAACAGACAGAAGCACAAAAAATGTTTTAGTGTGTTCACGGAGCAATGCGATTCTGTTTAGAAAATGTAGACATCTAGAATTTGATGGCAGTAGCAAAAACAAAAATCTGTTTTAGTCCAAACTCCTGCAAATATCCATGTAATGCTCCCGTTATTATATTTTTCTGTTCTTTCTACGAGTCCGTGACTAAAAAAAACATTCACTGCCAAGTCAGTTAGGTTCCAAACTGTAATAAAAATGGGATTTTACAACATTTGTAATATCACAATTCAAATAACTTCCAGAAGACATCTGTGTGTGAATTTGGCTTTACCTACATGTATGGTGGTCTCTCACAGAGAGGCAGATGTGGTCTGTTTCCTTGAACGTTTACTGAAACAGTCCTCATCTGACACACTCTATTAACAACTTGACAGGCTAAACTGATCATAGGGACAGGATGCCTTCTCTTGCCATACCGTTTGAAGGCAACATCCTGGGCCTTTATCTGCTGAAATCTCCCAAGCTTTGCTGAAATCTTTTTTTTTTTAATGCACTGTGACGAAAGAGCACAGTTTAAGTTTGTAAATTAACAAGCAAACGGGAACATGAGGATTCCGGCTGCAGGTTAGCCAACCACACAGAGCTAGATCATTCACCCTTATGTTCCCATGGCTGCCTCAGTTTTGCACACTAGTGTCCTCACGCAACACCTGCCAGAGGCTGCTGCCAGTGGGTGTGCGGAAACAGCTGCGTACACGGATTTTACAGCTGTCACAGCTATAAATCTCACACAGTTCTGGCCTCACCATCCCATTTGGAACTCCATCAAATGCTGCTGTCTGAAGTGAGCGCCACACGTGACCCTCCTCTTTCTGTCACACGTGATCCTCAGAGCGTAAATGTCCAGTTGCCTCAGCAACCCCAGGTCCGTAACGACCTTAATCCTTACCTCAGCAGCTCCGCCGACTCCCATAAATTAAGTTTCATCTCCTCACTTACACTTGCAATTCTACAGTTGCGCAGAGAAATCAAACACAAAAACAACAAACAAATGAATATGTCACACAACCTCCTGCACAGCCTCCCAATTAGGATGAAGCCTTGAAATGTCTTTTCAATTTTATGCTTCTGTACCTCTGAAATATACGAATTTAAGCTTTTTTTTTTTTTAAGTGCACGTTTCCACATTTTGACAATGGTCCAAACGCGTATGTAGAACTTAAGCTCCCCATGAACAGAGACAAAGTGGTGGTGTTGTTGTCGTGTGATACAAAAAGTCATCAGTTTCTAGATTCTGCCAAATTTTCTGTTTACTTTTGTACCACGCTGTGCCACCACTTTAGTTGCACTTCTCACTGATTTTGTCTGCGAGATAAACTGTGATCACTCTTTCTTTAGACTATCCTCCGATACACTCACGGCGCCTCCATTTCACTGAATCCCGGTCCTTTTTGAACGGTGTTAGAAACGACAGGAGCAAAATAGCCTCTGCTCTGTAGTCATTGAGCATTTCGAAGGCGCGCTCACCCACCTCGGCTGGGAAAGACCTGAGGCAAAGAAACTGGCAGCTCCACTGTGCAGAGAGGGAGGCAGTGGGAGGCCAAGCCCAAACAGATGAGCCTTATCTGGGCAGAGCATGTGTGAGCAGCCCTTTCCGCCCCCGCCTGTCCTGGAGCCCTGGCTGTCTGTCGTTCTCTCAGCTTTGAAAAACATATATACTCCCGAGTGCGTCCAAACACACAGTAGCACATGTTCGCCAAACGCATGCGCCCATACCCTGCCCAGAATGTGCACAAGCACAGATATGCACTTTTTGCTCCCAGTCTCCTTCACACATTCATGAATACACACTCTGTGCCAAAGCCTGCTTAGCCACCAAGTAACAGGAAATAATGTATGTGTGCGTGTTTGTTTTATCTCCATAGTGCCTCTGTTCTGGTCCCTTGCAATAAAGTTGAAGCACATCAGAGCATTTAGCCAAGCTGTCGTTTAAAGAGTCGGGCTGATAAACATATGTTAGAAGTTGCTCTTAGTGTCTGTCCCCATCCTACTGAAACTAAGTTATATAAAGGGCCTGTAGTCCTCTTTCATTTAAATGGGTTTGTGTGTGTCTGTGGGGAATGGTCAGTGTTGGACTGTATGCGACTGAGTCATGCTCATACAGTAAAATAAGCTGTCTCGAGAGAATGAGTTTGAGTAGGGCCGTGCTGGTTCCTCATCAGCTACCGCCTTTTTAAATGGAAACCGTTATCAGAGGACAGGCCCTGAGTTTAACGGCAGAAATGGGTCATTTCTGAGAGTACGCACGCGCAAATGTTTAGGGGTCTGTTTGCGTGTGTGCTTTGGTGTTTGGGTGTATGTTTGCATATTTGAGCTGTGACTCAGTGATTTTTGGGATTATGGTATTAGGCCCTAGATGAGCAGGCCTGATCCTAAATCAAACTCACACAGACGGTCTCTCACATCGCACACTCACACACAATCCCCTCCAGGACAAGCAGTGTCAGCTGAATCTTACACAGAGACTGCCTTGCAGCCACGCTGCCATTCAAAGCGGCGCATCTAGAGTATGCTCAGATTAGGACCGTGATCGTCTTAGCATGTATTATTAAGCAAGACGACAGAACAATCCAACACCAGAGGACGCTTGGCCCAGTGAAAACATTAATCCCCCCCACCGTGACCTCAGATGATACTCGGCCTTTATTACTTTGACATAAACCTGCTGTCAAAGCAATAGACTTTGAATAATCCGTTTACATTATTTGATCATATCCTTACAAACTGATTTATTTATTTTTTTTACCAGTTGCATCTTGTATATCTAACTGGTTATATGTTAGCTTGCCCTCAACCCAGTTCAGTCTCCTCACTTTACGCTGTTTTGTTCCTGCTCGGTCCCTCAATCTGCTTAACTGTCATTTTCTTTTCATCATGCAGGCGTCCCTGGCAGTGACTACATTAATGCAAATTACATTGACGGCTACCGCCGTCAGAATGCCTATATTGCCACTCAGGGCTCCCTGCCTGAGACCTTCGGGGACTTCTGGAGGATGGTCTGGGAGCAACACACAGCCAACATCATCATGATGACCAAGCTAGAGGAAAAGTCACGGGTAAGGCGACGTGGTCAACTGACAAGGCTCTAACAGGGAGTATGGACAGGGAGGAATGGCACAACCCCTTCATAAATGGTACAGGAGACTTGAGGAGTGCGAGTCAATTAGGGGGGTTTCAAAGTCAATTCGTATAGTGAAAGCTGGATACATCACAGTTAGCGGAACATAAATGAACAGGAGATACAACAAAATAGATGTGGCAGGCTACAGCAGTCTGCTACTCATCAAACAAAAACCCCGTAGATGTTTGCAAATGTTTTTTTCTAATCCCTTATTTATGAGGGATTTTATAGCCCACGATCAATCAGTGGTTTCACATGGCACTAGGGGGGAAAAAATGATAATTGTTTAACTGAAAAACGTTAACTGAAACACATTAGTCCAACGTACAGATGAGATAGCTCATGACAGAAACAAATTCCCACAAGGGTTACAGTCAATCTTTCTGTAGAAAAAAAAAAAAACAACTAAAAAAAAAAACGTATGATATTGCAGCTAAATTTCTAGTGAAGCTTCTGTCGTTAACATATTTTCCATTAGTTTTGTCAGCCTGTGAATCGTCTAAGATATTCCAACTGACGCTCTGCTCTAATAAAATACTGATCTCGTGAATGTCTAATGATCTCCCCCAACGAAACTCAGAAGCAGTGTAAATGTTTACCGTTGGGTCCAAATGTTTTCTCACAGTCCACAGCATCAGATTTACCTCGGTCAATAGGAGGAGAGCAGACAAAATAACTGGCCAGGTAGCAGCAGCTTAACATTGATTTTTTTCAGCATGTGGGAGAACAGCTGCCGCATAGACAGGGAAAAGAGAGAGTGACCGTGTGTGCCCGAGTGTGGTAGATCAGAGTAGAATGGAGGATATTGGTAAGTGAAGCTTGAAGGGATTACAGACACAGCTAAACTGGGGGGCCAGTGATGAATTAGAAATTCATTTGGTTTCGAGGCGTTTCGCTGTTCTTAACAGAATGTTCGCATGGGTACAAATCCAGCGTCCCGTCAGAGTGACACTAACAAGAATGGCTCCAGATATGAAGCATGACTAAGTGCTAACCAGTTCCACATCCTTTTCAGAAAATGATCCTTTCTTTCCATCTGTGCTTCTTTTCCTGTTAACCTGTGCCTTGTGTTAAAACTCTTTTTCCCTTCCAACCTTTTCCAACTGTCTCTGTTGTGTCTCTCTGACCCTCAGATGCCCTCTTATTTCTTCTCCAAGGCAAGACCTCTCTTTCTTTCCTTTGCTATTCCCTTTATAAATGCAACCTTACCTTACGTGGTTTATTTTTCCCCTTCAACTTCACACCTCTATTCAATGTCTTTTTTTAAATGCCCCCCCCCCACACTTAATGTTTGTTTTGTTTAATTTAAAAGGAATAGCCGCTGCATTTAGCCCAACTACACATATGTTTAAGGCTTGCCACAAAGCGCCCGTCGTGAGCTTGGTCCGAAATGGATTTCATTCTAACCACTGGAGTTCAGAGACAGCATCCACAGTGTGCATGATCACGTCACAGTTGCCCCCCCCCTCCCACTACACCTGTCAGAAATGTGCCGTATCTTCTTTAAACGCCCACGCAGCGACAACATGATACTCTGAACAGTATTCATTTAGAGCATATTTAGCTGTTTTATTGCCAGCCCGCTGCTGTGCCTCTCTACCTGCTGTTTGAGGGAGCAGTGGGCCGCTCATTGGAGGAAATAATTTGATCTCATTTAACACCTCTCAAACGGCATTATGTGTTTACCCATTACTGACACAGATGATCACAGATGGTCCCCCTGTGGGAGTCTTGCCAGCATCCTTCCTTTTAGCACAAATCAAACCGCTGTCGTGCTGTTAACCCACAAATCAGCGGATAACGCAAACTTCCCACCAGTTCTTTTTTTTTTTCTTTCTTTTTCTTTTCTGCAATCACTCGCTCTCTCCACCCCCTCTGTGGACCACCATTTCTGTCCCCACTGCTTCCCAAGGTCTGGTGGGAAAACAACAGTTGGAAAGCTGTAATTACAGCCTGAACATCCCAGGCCAAAATGCATAATCCCCAGTCTGGAGCAATGGAATGCAGAGCAAGCTGAGCTGAGCTCCCTGTCGTCTTTGATGTGAGGACTGGAGGGATCAGCACGTAACGTTTAGTTTGGCCTGATTCTGCCAAAGCCCTCCTCCCACCTTTTTTTTTTTTCTTTTAAATCTCCTCTGGGATTTCTCTCCCCTCTCCTCTGTCTCTGAGGCTGAGCTGACAAATTATTAATATGACTGCCCTGTGTTGGGGGAATTCTAAAAGATATGTTGGTATTTTAAGAGAGGGATGTGGGGCGATGTGCGATATGGGGAGAGTAACATTGGATCTACCAAAGCACAAAGATCTGTCCTTGCGAGAGTGTGTGGCAACACGCTTGAATCTCCACTTTATTTATCTCTCTGCCAGCCTTCGCTCCACATCACTCAAACTTTTTTTTTTTTACCCACCTGTTTGCTAATCTGCTTCATCCCTTTCCTCCTTTTTCACCCCCCCTCAACATGTGGGCTTAGCACCTCACCTCTTTCCAAACATCTCCAAACTATCCCACACCGCTGACGACTCCTCCATCTTCTCCTCTCACAGGTGAAGTGCGATCAGTACTGGCCCACGCGGGGCACAGAGACCTACGGCCTCATTCAGGTCACTCTGCTGGACACGGTGGAGCTGGCCACCTACTCCGTCAGGACCTTTGCTCTTTACAAGGTAACATTAGGAGACATTAAGATATATGCTAATTCTTTTCTGTAAGTAATCCAGTAGTGAATGCAGCACCAGCTAAGGTCAAAGTGAGTGTTTATGGTGGTCAGAGTTTCTTTTCCTCTCATTTTTTGAGTTGGTGGTTTGGAATAAAAATTTTAAAAATCATCCAAATCCTATGTCAGCAGAGTTGACACAATATGATTTATAGGATAATTTTATGGATGATTTGTTGTTTTAATCATAAGTTGTTGAATCCAAAAAGCATGGTTTGACCGTTTCTAAAAATCTGCTCCATGAATACAGCATGGCATTTCCAGTTAGTCATGGAAAGAGAAAGTTCAGCCAAAAGCGAGCTGCCCTTCAGCTTATGGCCGCGTGCGTTTTTCTGCAGCCTTCAGGTTTTCGTCAACACAGCACCATGGAGGAAATTCGATTAAGTTTTATTTATATAGCGCCAAATCACAACAACAGTTATCTCACAGCACTTTCCAAAAAGCACAGGTCAGATCGTACTCTGAAGTTATTTACAGAAGCCCAACAATTCCCACCAAAAGCAAACACTAGGCGACACAGGCAAGGAAAAACTTCCTTTTAAGAGGCAGAACCATGGCTCAGGGTGGGCGGCCATCTGCCTCGGCCGGTTGGGGATGAGATAGAGAGAGTGAGGGAAGAACAGAGGGAGCAGAGGGAGGCAGCCTACACAGTTACACATAGAAGTACAGACAAGTAAAGGTAGTGTTGTTATAGGCTGGATAAAAAGTGGTAGAGATATTGGAACAGTATTTGTAATTGTAGCAGAGGGTTTCGATTAGGAACAGGGGGGCAGCAGACTCTCACCCACAGATCCAGACTCCACAGCTCCAGAGCCAGGAACACCTGCAGGAGGTGATAAGAGGATCGAAAGCAGGGATCGTAGACAGGCAGTCGTTGCAATCCAGGAGTGCTGTTAACAAAAGCGAATACATTTCAAAATTATTTCAAAGCAACCCCTCGAAAACTAACCATCAGAAGGAGTGGCAGAGAAATGTTGTTCAATTGATGTGGAAATCTTTTGAGATGAATTATCCATCAAAATGCATGTTTTTTATACCATTGAAGAGCCGTAGCCTGGCAGATGTTGTTTCTCTCATCTAACTGACAGGAGGCAGGCAGGTGTGTTGTGCCTGTTTTTCTCAGTTTAAAGTCCCAGTATGTCCAGCTGAAATGCGGTCCGCGTTTTTTAAATTGGTCGGTGGTGAAACTTTGTTTGAAACCTTTGCTTTGTTTTTCTTTTTTATTCATCCAGAGTGGCTCCAACGAGAAACGTGAGGTCCGTCACTTCCAGTTCACAGCCTGGCCGGACCACGGGGTGCCTGAACACCCCACGCCATTCCTGGCCTTCCTTCGCCGGGTCAAGGCCTGCAACCCTCCTGATGCAGGACCCATGGTTGTCCACTGCAGGTGTGTCTGCTTTTGTGTGTTTCCACTTCACTCTCAATCCATTTTTTGATAGAACAGAGATTATTCACGCTATCAGAGCCCAAATTGAATGAATCGGATCCTCAAAACACTTAAGTGTAATTTCTGGGTCGTATTTAGCAGTCTAATTTTCAAAAGCCTGGGCGTCCAAGGGCGCTTGTTTAAAATCACTTAGAGGCCCCGAACAAAAATATGACCGACCTGCCATTATGCAAACCCCAAACCTCCCTCTTTGGCTCGGGCGCCCACATTCCTTTCTTAATAACATCCATCATGGTGAAAACGCGCCATGATTAGCTTTCACAGTTGACAACTCGTCGTTTATGCTGCTGGTGGATGTGGGTTCACAAGTTTATATTCAAATGAGCTTCTGTCTAAGCAGCCCAAGCCTGGCGTGTTGGATGGAGGGAGATTCTGGAAACTTGTCATTACCATGCTGAGCTTCACAACTGGAGAGAAGCTGCTATTTGCCCTGAAAAAGGAAGCAAGGAGGAGAAGAAGGTGGAGGTTAGAGGAGACAGTGTGCAGCGGAGCCTCTCAGGAGGGAAAATTAGCAGTGTGTATAGCTGTGGACGATGAGGGGAAGGAAGGAGGGGGCCATTGAGACGATGACTGAGAGAAAGAGGTAGCAAGGGACTGAGTGTTAGTGGAGATTTGTGGGGAATGAGAGAAAGAGCGAGGTCAAATCCAGGACACTGTGAGTGAAAATGATTAATTAAAGGGAAGGACAGGTGGATACAAATTGGGATGAGAAAGGAAAAAAATGTAGGGAGGGAAAAACTGGCGAGAGAGTGCTGGACGGGTACTTAGGGAGAAGATAAAGAGGCGGGGAGGCGAGGGCAGGAGGTTGGCAGGAGACGAGTTCCTCCTAATCTGCCGTTACAGTCAGATGGAGTATCTAACAGGATTATCCGTCAAATTTAATTATCCCAGCAAGACTCCGTCATAATGTGCCTTAACCTGTAACCCAGCCTTTGGATCAAACAATGGGCCTTAATCTCATTCCACCTGAACCGCGCACACACACACACACAGACCCACACATGGGAGCAGAGGGATATTAATTCGACCGCGTAAAGAGTTTTTTATTCACACGCGCAAACTTGCTTGGTCAGGTCGTCTCACCATTCAGGTACCAGCACAGCAGAAATGGGGAAGTGTTTGGGTGGACAGCTAAATGTATTATATTTCTGGATTAAATGTTGATGGGGGATGATATCACCATAATACCAGTGAGACAGGGATGCTGAGTCGTCGTTTTTTTTTTTTACTTCCACCCTGTGTTGGGAAATATTGCTGGCGGGCATGCGCAGAGTCAGTTATTGCCATCAAACTTCAATTACCCAAACTTATGTGAGAAAATGTCATCTCTGCCCCCACCCCCTTCCCAACCTGCCCTGCCCTCGTCGGGGTTTTAGCGCCGGAGTGGGTCGCACCGGCTGCTTCATCGTGATCGACGCCATGACGGAGCGCATCAAGCACGAGAAGGCCGTGGACATCTACGGCCACGTCACGCTGATGCGCTCCCAGCGGAACTACATGGTCCAGACAGAGGACCAGTACATCTTCATCCATGACTCGCTGCTGGAGGCCGTGACCTGCGGGAACACCGAGGTCCCCGCCAGGAACCTCTACTCCTACATCCAGAGGCTAACGCAGATCGAGCCTGGGGAGAACGTCACCGGCATGGAGCTGGAGTTCAAGGTGGGTATTGCTAAGAAAAACTCTGGTCTTTCTGTCCTTACCCTCTGCTGCTTAGGTGATCTGATGCTTAAGTTAGCCGTTCTGGGGTGTTTTAGAGTTGGTAGTTTAAGGCTTCCTCAGTAAGATTCAGGAGGAGAAATCAGTGTTTTAAGATGCTGTCTCCATCAGGTAAAATGGGGTTTTGTAAACATTCATATTTATACGGATCTACACATGTGCACGGCCTACCCGAAACTGAAAAACGCTGAGCAGTAAGACTGTTCTTGACTCCAGAACAAGGGATAACTCGGACTGCTTCCTAAAGGATTAAAGTTATGTTAGTTTGTGACCCTGTGATTGGCTGGTATTCCCTCCAGTGTGCCTCCTGGATGTTGTTCAGCGGCAGCCTGAATTGATTAAAGCAGCTATAGATTCCAAAATGGACCAAAACCGCAAAATAATGTGGTTGGAAATCAACTTCCCCAAGTTGTCTTCACACAAAGGAAGGGGAAAAAACAGACACACAATGAAGGTCATCCACCTCATTTGTCCAAGTAAGGAGTAAGGCATAAAGTGAACGGTCAAGTTCCTTGTGTGAGAGGTCAACTGGGAGAAAAAGCAACTTTAGTTATGCATCTGTCGTTGTTACTGCGAAAGTAAACGTACCGATTATGTACCCGGACGTGCCAGATCTTAAAGTTAGGATGCTCATAAACATTTAGAGTCTTTCCCAGTCTCCATCAGACAGGGAACAGTTTTCACACAGTCAAGATGGAGACTCAGAATCAGAGTGGATTGTCGTCTTTTTTCGTTTTTTCTTTTGAAGTTCAACCCCCACAAACAGAGGCATCGAAGCCACACAGAGATTCTTTAGAGAAAATCTGAATCACATTGAGAACTCCAAACACAATCCATTTTGTTTTCTTCTCGTTGTGTTTATTTTGTTTACCGCTATATTTACCTCTTCCCGGCAGAGCTTACAGGAGTTCTCTGTGTTCTGGCCGGACGGGGTTTATAGACAAAGCAGGTGGCTTAGATTTTTTATTTTTTTTCCTTTCCTGGAACGGTTCACGTCTGCTAAGACGCTTAGCGGGCAAAGTCAACACCAAACGACTCCCGCAGCCTCCCTCATCCCATGCCTCGGCATTCCTCCCTCAACAGCAGCCAACTGCCTCAGACGACACAGAACCCAGCGCCGCCTAAATGTAAAACAGGTGCTCGGGCTGTCCCCGCGTCTCTGTGACACACAAGTCTGAAAGCGGGGCCTTCACATAGAGGCCCAGCATCCCACCCGTCGCACAAAATCCCCCAAAGCCGAGCTGTGCGGGCACATTTTGGGCGGATTTCGTCAACGGTGCTCTCCAGCTAACATTTCCCAAGCACGAGCGCCCATCAAAGCAGTGTAAAGGCGGTCAAAATTTGATTTGTTTCTCGATAAAACCATGAAGATTTCGGTCCGATGGGGAGGAATGGTTGCTGCCGGCAGTACCCGGATGAACCGGTGACCTCGGCGGTCGGCGGGGATTTTCCAGCTTCGTGAAAATAAGGACCCGCTGTTTCTCCCACAGCCGCTGATGGCAGAGACCCCATTGTTTCCTGTGCGTCTGCGGTCTCGGCGCGGCCTGTCTTTCATTTGAAGCCGTGTCATCCACCGGTCGAGCGCTCGCGTCCGTCTGCCGGCACACATACGTGCATATGCATGGAGGTGTGGGTCCCGGGCGTACCGGGGTCTATGCTTTATTTTATTGTTTTTGCTGGGGCAGGATCAGTTGCGGTTCACATATGTGAGCTGAGACAGTGTGGGGCCTTGTGGTTTTCCTGCGCCCCGACTCTTGATTTTCTCCTCTTATTATATTCCGTCTTCCATTCCCTACCGCTGCCCTCATACCTCTAAGACGCCCCCGCTTTGCTTATTCAATTGAAGATGTCTGACTAAGTATCCTGAGGCCTGCCTGGTTTAGCTGATCTTCCAATTTCCCCCTGTCCGGCTTGCCAGAGAAAGACCAGGCCTTGTGCTGAATCCATTTCCACGAGGTCCTTGAATGCGTCCGCGCTCCCTTTTCATTTTCCACATTTCCTCGGCTCCATCTGTCCTCTCCTTGTCCGTTGTGACCCCCACCCCCCCCCACTTATTGCCTCGTATCTCAGAGGATGTTTTGTTTGTTTGGGGTATTTTGTCTAAAGTTGTGTAATATTGTGGATCTTTTTCTGTTGTCGTTTTCTCCAGCGTCTGGCCAGTGCCAAGGCTCACACATCACGGTTTGTGAGTGCCAATCTGCCATGCAACAAGTTCAAGAACCGGCTGGTGAACATAATGCCCTACGAGACCACCCGCGTGTGTCTGCAGCCAATCAGAGGGGTGGAGGGATCAGACTATATAAACGCCAGCTTCATCGACGGATACAGGTCAGAGAAAATGCAGGAACGCCGGTGCCATTTGCTGCTGAGGAGCCTAGGGGGGAGAGAAATTCACGCTTATCTGTGTGTGTGTGTGTGTGTGTGTGTGTGTGTGTGTGTGTGTGTGTGT